TAAGCAGGGGGACACGTCTGGCACTGCAGGATTTGAGTCCCTGGCAGCGTAGTGTGTTACTGATGGTAGGCTTTGTTACTTTGGTCCCAGCTCTCTGCAGGTCATTCACTAGGTCCCCCCGTGTGGTTCTGGGATTTTTGCTCACCGTTCTTGTGACCATTTTGACCCCACGGGGTGAGATCTTGCGTGGAGCCCCAGATCGAGGGAGATTATCAGTGGTCTTGTATGTCTTCCATTTCCTAATAATTGCTCCCACAGTTGATTTCTTCAAACCAAGCTGCTTACCTATTGCAGATTCAGTCTTCCCAGCCTGGTGCAGGTCTACAATTTTGTTTCTGGTGTCCTTTGACAGCTCTTTGGTCTTGGCCATAGTGGAGTTTGGAGTGTGACTGTTTGAGGTTGTGGACAGGTGTTTTTTATACTGATAACAAGTTCAAACAGGTGCCATTAATACAAGTAACGAGTGGAGGACAGAGGAGCCTCTTAAAGAAGAAGTTACAGGTCTGTGAGAGCCAGAAATCTTGCTTGTTTGTAGGTGACCAAATACTTATTTTCCACCATAATTTGCAAATAAATTCATAAAAAATCCTACAATGTGATTTTCTGGATTTCTTTTTCTCAATTTGTCTGTCATAGTTGACGTGTACCTATGATGAAAATTACAGGCCTCTCTCATCTTTTTAAGTGGGAGAACTTGCACAATTGGTGGCTGACTAAATATTTTTTTCCCCTACTGTATGTGTGTTCCGTGTGTTCCTGTGTATAGAACATATTACAGTAGAGCTACAGACAGTTCCAGTATAGTTTTAGCTTCACTCTACTCTACAGGCTCATCTCAGCATATGTGCTCTGACCCAGATACCACTTCCTGTTCTACATACAGCACAGAGAGATAGAGAGACGGGTAGATGGAGAGGGAGGGAGCGAGGGAGAAATAGAGAGAAAGAGAAGGGGAAGAGTTAGTTTTTCTTTCCTCTACTCAGAATGTTCATTTGAAGTGCAGTGGGATTATGGGAGGGTTTTAAATCGCTCAGCCACTCACCTCTCCTACCTGCTGTTCTCTCTCTCTCTCTCTCTCTCTCTCTTGCTCGCTTTCCCACCATCTTTCTTGATCCACTTCTCTCTGTCTTGCTCTCTTCCCATCACTACCCATCTCTCTTCTCTCCCTTTCTTTTTCTCTTTCTCTCACTACCACTCCTCTCCCTGCCTCTCTGACTGTATAACTTCTAATCACATTAGGTGTACTAGAGCAGAGGACTGTAGTATCTAGGGTCCTGCTCCTCAAGCTAATCTAGCAGAGAGGCTGCTGTTGGAGGCTAATTCACTGGGATTCAATAGGAGTCAGAAGTTATTAGCAAAAGCCCTGATTCTGACAGTCTCTCCATCTTTCCTCTCGTTCTCTTGCGCTCTCTTTTTTCTCTCTCGTGCAGTTGCATTCTCTTTCTCTCTCTTGTGCGCTGTCTCACTCTCTCAACTCCTCTCTTCTCACTCTCTTAGCTCACTCTCTTAGCTCAATATCTTTATTGTAGATAGTGAGATGATGGTGGGAGGTGCTAAAAAGGGTGGGTCATCACCCTTATTTTTTCCATTGTGTGTGATGTTATCTGTAAGATGCCCACCCTTTTTAACACCTCCCACCATCATTATCTTATATTATAATTATAATTTAGAATAATAAATGGAATCCGGACTATGAGAGAACTGGGGGATACGAGGGACAGAGCGAGAGAAGATGGGGTGATGGAGAGATGAGGTTGTGGAGAGTGCAGACTGAGAGAAGAATGGCGCTGGAATGTATAGCGGATGTTTTACAGGCTCCTGACCAGTTCTGCTATTTTGTGTTTTTTTACGCTGATCTTTACTTTTTTTGTAAATAATGTTTCCGCCATCTTTTCCTATGACCGAAAAGAGCTTCTGGACATCAGAACAGTGATCAATAGCCTCGAATTTGGATGAAGATGTCTATTTCAATGAGTCGGCGGAACAGAACATACTGCTCACCCCGAACCAGGCCCTAATCTGGAAGAGAAAGAGACGCCGATATAGAGACCGACGTGCGGGTACCCTGATGAAGCTACGGCGGAGAGTAAATAATCCGCCTTTACCCTCTGTTCTATTGGCGAATGTACAACAATCACTGGAGAACAAACTGGACGAGCTCTGTTCGAGACTATCCTATCAACAGGACTGTAATATCCTATGCGCAACTAGATGCGAAAAAACTCTAGACCACCTTTACTCCACACACAGAGACACCTACAAAGCTCGCCCTCCATTTGGCAAATCTGACCATAACTCTATCCTCCTGATTCCTGCTTACAAGCAAAAACTCAAACAGGAGTACCAGTGACACGCTCACTACGGAAGTGGTCTGATGAAGCGGATGCTAAGCTACAGGAATAGAATATGTTCTGGGACTACCACATCAGTCACCGGCTTCATTAATAAGTGCCTTCACGACGTCGTCCCCTCAGTGACCGTACGTACATATCCCAACCAGAAGTCATGGATTACAGGCAACATCCACACTGAGCTAAAGGCTAGAGCTGCCACTTTCAAAGAGCGGGACACTAACCTGGACGCTTACAAGAAATCCCACTATGCCCTCCAATGAACCATCAAACAGGCAAAGCGTCAATACAGGACTAAGATCGAATCCTACTACACCGGCTCTGACGCTCGTCGGATGTGGCAGGGCTTGCAAACTATCACGGATTACAAAGGGAACCCCAGCCGCAAGTTGCCCAGTGACGCAAGGCCCTAAAGATTGTCAGACTCCAACCACCCAAGACATAGACCCTTCTCTCTGCAACCGCACAGCAAGCGGTACTGATGCACCAAGTCTGGAACCAAACAGGACCCTGAACAGCTTCTACCCCCAAGCCATAACATTGTTAAATAGTTAACCAAATAGCTACCCTGACTATCTGCATTGACCGTTTCTGCACTAACTTTTTTGACTCATCACATACGCTGTGATATGTACATCGAACCAGTACTGGTACTTCTTGTATATAGCCAAATGATCGTTACTCATTGTGTATCTATTATTACTTTTATTATTACGTGTTTTACTTTTCTATTATTTTTCTATTTTCTTTCTCTCTGCATTGTTGGGAAGGGCCCGTAAGTAAGCATTTCACTGTTAGTCCACACCTATTGTTTACGAAGCATGTTACTAATACAATTTGATTTGATGGAAAGTTGAGATGGAGGAGAGAGATCTCATAACTCCTTGCCTGAGCAGCTGTTACCCAGCCCCCCCACCCCCCTCTTTCTGTCAGCTCTACTCTCTCTGTCTCTGTGTCTGTCTCTGTCTCTTTCTCACTCACTCACTCACTCACTGTGTGAGTACAAAAATTTTTATGTCATCCCACCAACAGGAAGACCACATGTTGAGGGAGCGTTATACAAAGTGATGCTAAATCAATGTTTTAACACTGCTAAATCAATGTTTTACCGGCCAGAATGGTTTACGAGTGAATCCTACACTGTGTGTGCTCGCGCCTTAGTGTGATATTGGTTTATTAGGCTCCATTGTCATTTACGATATAGAACGTGCCATTTTCACTGCCATGCTCTTCAACATTCTTGTTGTGACTGAAAGTCAATAAATTGTGGTATTTACTAGGCTCAATCTGGTTGAATAAATAGCAGCCTGTTTGTGTTATTGTTGTCATGATTACAACAAACTTCCCCTTTGGAAATGCCATGAGGGGTAAACAACCTATGGAGTGTCAGTTCATAGACCATCATACACAAAACAAATAGCTTGTTAGGGTGTGTGTGTGACGTGTTGGTTGTTTGTTTCTTGGGGCCTCCCAGATGAGATTGTTATCAGGTCACGTCTCTAGGCTGTGTTCCCTGGCCAGGACAAATAGAATAATTAATATTTGTTTTGTTTGTTATGATTCGCTCCATTACTTAATAGAATGACTTTCCCCCTCTCCAGGGCAATGGGAATTTATTATCTCTATTAATGGCCTTTTTCACACTCACTCTCTCGCTCTCTCTTTCTCTCTCTCTCACTCTCTCTCTCTCTCTCTCTCTCTCTCTTTCTCTTTCGCTCTCTCTCTCATTCTGTGTGTGCGTGTGTGTCTAGGATGAAGAGGAGGAGATTAAACTGGAGATTAATATGCTGAAGAAGTACTCCCACCACAGAAACATAGCCACCTACTACGGAGCCTTCATCAAGAAGAGCCCACCAGGACATGACGACCAGCTCTGGGTGAGTGTGTGTTTACCTAGTCTATCCCTCAGTCCCAAATACCTCTACCTAAAACTCAAGCCTAAACTACTTGGACACCTCCAGCATAAGGCCTTCATAACGGTGTCATAGATTGACATCGCTAGTTAGGTTCAATAGGAGCTACCATCCTCACTCTACCTACCTCCCCATCCATAGTCCTCCTCACTACAACCATCTATGAATGAGTGGCTACAGACATATCCCCCTCAAACCACCCTTCCCTCCACCAGTCCTCCCTAAAGGCTGGGTGAAGTTTGAACTCCCCCCATCCTCTCCTCCTTTCTCTCTGGGTCAACAATAGCTCTCCCTCCCCGGTCAGTCCCTGTGTGTTTGCCTGCTAGTGTTACATTTAATGGCCCCTTTCAGACTCTGAGGCTTTTTATCTCTCAGAGATGGAGGTGCTGCTGAGAATGAGAGACCAGCGAGACAGGGGAAGGAGGAGGGATGGAGGGAGAGCGATTGATTTAACTATAGGTTTCTCTAGGCCAGGGTTACTCCCAGTTTATTGCCATCCATCTCTGCTTTACTTAGAGAGTGAGGGAAAGGGAGTGAGGGTTTCTCTCACTAGACTCAAGTACCATGTCTATTGTTTTCACAGCTGTGTCTCTAACCTTTTACATCTACACTGTTATGGCTGCATAGTGTGTGTGTGTGTGTGTGCAACACGCATGTGTGTACATTACTAACTTTCTCTCTCTCTGTGGGTCTCTAGCTGGTGATGGAGTTCTGTGGTGCAGGCTCCATCACAGACCTGGTGAAGAACACCAAGGGCAACACACTGAAGGAGGACTGGATCGCCTACATCTCCCGTGAGATCCTCAGGGTGTGTCTCCATTTACTCCCTACACATCCCCCCTGCTGTTGCATGCTGGTATCTGTGGTCTCATGATGGTCTGTGTTTCTCCTCAGGGGTTGGCTCACCTGCACGCCCACCATGTGATCCACCGTGACATCAAGGGCCAGAACGTGCTGCTGACTGAGAACGCTGAGGTCAAACTGGGTGAGTTCACTGGTTTCAACCGGTTTAAGATGATTTGATACAAGAGGCTAGACTGGTTTAAACTGGTTGAAATTAGTCTGATTCAAACTGAGGCTGGTTTGATACATGATACATGGGACTAGACTGGTTTGAACTGGTTCTGACTGGTCTTCTCTCCCCTCCTCCAGTGGACTTTGGTGTGAGCGCCCAGCTGGACCGGACGGTGGGCCGGAGGAACACCTTCATCGGGACACCCTATTGGATGGCGCCCGAGGTCATTGCCTGCGACGAGAACCCAGACGCCACCTACGACTACAGAGTAAGATGCACTCAATAACACCATGCTGCTTTCTGCTAATGGCTGTCAGTGTCCAGTTGTGTGTGAAGTTGGTTGATTGATAGCTGCTTGCGTTTGTGCCATTGTATGTGGCTGTGTAGGCTGATGGGACAGTACAGTAGCAGGTTGGGGCAGATGTTGTCATGACCAGAGAGGGTGGTAATTACCATCCTATATAGATTCATACACACACACAATGGTAGCTGTGTGTTTTCTCCTGCAGAGTGACTTGTGGTCCACTGGAATCACAGCTATAGAGATGGCTGAGGGAGCTCCTCGTAAGTACAACCACTCTATTTCTATTGGACTTCTACACTACTATTTTTCCCAGCGGGCTAACCTGGTTGAAATTATCTGTGTTTGTTTTCCTTTGTCTGATCTGTGTGTATGGTCTTGTCTTCCAGCGCTGTGCGATATGCATCCAATGAGAGCGCTCTTCCTCATCCCCAGAAACCCTCCTCCTCGACTCAAGTCAAAGAAATGGTATGTAACTAATCTATGCCCTTATGATTTCAGACATTTAAACCACCATTTTACAATCCCACTGTGAAAAATGATACTGGTGAAACTCCTTCATAGCTCAGCTGACATCACCTGGTAGATACAGCATAGGCTCATAAAAGTAACATGTCTCCTCTCCTCAGGTCTAAGAAGTTTTGCAGCTTCATCGAGGGCTCCCTGGTGAAGAACTATACCCAGCGTCCCCCCACCGACCAGCTGCTGAAACACCCCTTCATCAGGGACCAGCCCAATGAAAGGCAGGTCCGCATCCAACTCAAAGACCACATCGACCGCACCAAGAAGAAGAGGGGGGAGAAGGGTGAGTCTTAGAGACATACTAATACACACACACACACTAGTCTTCTCGAAGACCTCTTCTTCAGAACACATTTAAAACATTCTCACCCTTTCCTCTCTTCTCTAGATGAGACAGAGTATGAGTACAGTGGGAGTGAGGAAGAAGAGGAGGAAGCTCAGGAGCAGGAGGGGGAGCCCAGGTAACTAACCCACATAGATCAATCCCAAAAAATAGCCAACATACTAATAGCAAATGCATTAGCTAACAAGTATTTTTGGTCCATAGCGCTCCTTACTAACGTATCTCTTTGTCCTGTAGCTCCATAGTGAACCAGCCAGGGGAGTCAACCCTGCGTAGGGACTTCATCCGTCTGCAGCAGGAGAACAAGGAGCGCTCGGAGGCCCTGCGCAGACAGCAGCTCTTGCAGGAGCAGCAGCTCCGGGAGCAGGAGGAGTACAAGCGCCAACTACTGGCAGAGAGGCAGAAACGCATCGAGCAGCAGAAAGAGCAGAGGCGGCGGCTGGAGGAGGTATGAGAGAGCGAGTCTGTGTGTGTCTACGTTTATGTGTGTGTGTTCTTCCACCCTGTTTAATGGTGTGTGTGTTTGTTCCTTTTACTCTGCACCTATAAATTGTGTATGTATGCATAACGTGTGTGTGTGTGTGCTAGAACAGTCAACAAATCAAATCAAATCAAATTTTATTGGTCACATGCGCCGAATACAACAGGTGCAGACATTACAGTGAAATGCTTACTTACAGCCCTTAACCAACAGTGCATTTATTTTAAACAAAAAAGTAAGAATAAAACAACAACAAAAAAGTGTTGAGAAAAAAAGAGCAGAAGTAAAAATAAAGTGACAGTAGGGAGGCTATATATACAATAGAATAAAGTGACAGTAGGGAGGCTATATATACAGGGGGGTACCGTTGCATAGTCAATGTGCGGGGGCACCGGCTAGTTGAGGTAGTTGAGGTAATATGTACATGTGGGTAGAGTTAAAGTGACTATGCATAAATACTTAACAGAGTAGCAGCAGCGTAAAAAGTATGGGGTGGGGGGGCAGTGCAAATAGTCCGGGTAGCCATGATTAGCTGTTCAGGAGTCTTATGGCTTGGGGGTAGAAGCTGTTGAGAAGTCTTTTGGACCTAGACTTGGCACTCCGGTACCGCTTGCCGTGCGGTAGCAGAGAGAACAGTCTATGACTAGGGTGACTGGAGTCTTTGACAATTTTGAGGGCCTTCCTCTGACACCGCCTGGTATAGAGGTCCTGGATGGCAGGGAGCTTTGCCCCTGTGATGTACTGGGCCGTACGCACTACCCTCTGTAGTGCCTTGCGGTCAGAGGCCAAGCAGTTGCCATACCAGGCGGTGATGCAACCAGTCAGGATGCTCTCGATGGTGCAGCTGTAGAATTTTTTGAGGATCTGAGGACCCATGCCAAATCTTTTTAGTCTCCTGAGGGGGAATAGGCTTTGTCGTGCCCTCTTCACGACTGTCTTGGTGTGTTTGGACCATGATAGTTCGTTGGTGATGTGGACACCAAGGAACTTGAAGCTCTCAACCTGTTCCACTACAGCCCCGTCGATGAGAATGGGGGCGTGCTCAGTCCTCTTTTTTTTCCTGTAGTCCACAATCATCTCCTTTGTCTTGGTCACGTTGAGGGAGAGGTTGTTGTCCTGGCACCACACGGCCAGATCTCTGACCTCCTCCCTATAGGCTGTCTCATCGTTGTCGGTGATCAGGCCTACCACTGTTGTGTCGTCGGCAAACTTAATGATGGTGTTGGAGTCGTGCCTGGCCATGCAGTCATGGGTGAACAGAGAGTACAGGAGGGGACTGAGCACGCACCCCTGAGGGGCCCCCGTGTTGAGGATCAGTGTGGCAGATGTGTTGTTACCTACCCTTACCACCTGGGGGCGGCCCGTCAGGAAGTCCAGGATCCAGTTGCAGAGGGAGGTGTTTAGTCCCAGGATCCTTAGCTTAGTGATGAGCTTTGAGGGCACTATGGTGTTGAATGCTGAGCTGTAGTCAATGAATAGCATTCTCACGTAGGTGTTCCTCTTGTCCAGGTGGGAAAGGGCAGTGTGGAGTGCGATAGAGATTGCATCATCTGTGGATCTGTTGGGGCGGTATGCAAATTGGAGTGGGTCTAGGGTTTCTGGGATTATGCTGTTGATGTGAGCCATGACCAGTCTTTCAAAGCACTTCATGGCTACAGACGTCAGTGCCACGGGTCGGTAGTCATTTAGGCAGGTTATCTTAGAGTTCTTGGGCACGGGGACTATGGTGGTCTGCTTGAAACATGTTGGTATTACAGACTCAGTCAGGGACATGTTGAAAATGTCAGTGAAGACACTTGCCAGTTGGTCAGCACATGCTCGGAGTACACGTCCTGGTAATCCGTCTGGCCCTGCGGCCTTGTGAATGTTGACCTGCTTAAAAGTCTTACTCACATCGGCTACGGAGAGCGTGATCACATAGTCGTCCGGAACAGCTGGTGCTCTCATGCATGCTTCAGTGTTGCTTGCCTCGAAGCGAGCATAGAAGTGGTTTAGCTCGTCTGGTAGGCTTGTGTCACTGGGCAGCTCGCGGCTGTGCTTCCCTTTGTAGTCTGTAATAGTTTTCAAGCCCTGCCACATCCGACGAGCGTCAGAGCCAGTGTAGTATGATTCAATCTTAGACCTGTATTGACTCTTTGCCTGTTTGATGGTTCGTCGGAGGTCATAGCGGGATTTCTTATAAGCGTCCGGGTTAGAGTCCCGTTCCTTGAAAGCGGCAGCTCTACCCTTTAGCTCAGTGCGGATGTTTCCTGTAATCCATGGCTTCTGGTTGGGGTATGTACGTACGGTCACTGTGGGGACGACATCATCGATGCACTTATTGATGAAGCCAGTGACTGATGTGGTGTACTCCTCAATGCTGTCTGAAGAATCCCGGAACATGTTCCAGTCTGTGCTAGCAAAACAGTCCTGTAGCTTAGCATCTGCGTCATCTGACCACTTTTTTATTAGCCGAATCACTGGTGCTTCCTGCTTCAGTTTTTGCTTATAAGCAGGAATCAGGAGGATAGAGTTATGGTCAGATTTGCCAAATGGAGGGCGAGGGAGAGCTTTGTATGCGTCTCTGTGTGTGGAGTAAAGGTGGTCTAGAGTTTTTTCCCCTCTGGTTGCACATTTAACATGCTGGTAGAAATTAGGTAGAACGGATTTAAGTTTCCCTGCATTAAAGTCCCCTGCTACTAGGAGCGCTGCATCTGGATGAGCGTTTTCCTGTTGATTAATGGCCTTGTACAACTCATTCAGTGCAATCTTAATGCCAGCATTGGTTTGTGGTGGTAAATAGACAGCTATGAAAAATATAGATGAAAACTCTCTTGGTAAATAGTGTGGTCTGCAGCTTATCATAAGATACTCTACCTCAGGCGAGCAAAACCTTGAGACTTCCTTAGTATTTGATTTTGTGCACCAGCTGTTGTTTACAAATATACAGAGACCGCCACCCCTCGTCTTACCCGAGTCTGCCGTTCTGTCCTGCCGATGTAGCGTATAGCCTGCTAGCTGAATGTTATCATTGTCGTCGTTCAGCCACGACTCCGTGAAACAACACACTCCTCACAGACGTTTCCCTTCTCTGTGTTGTGTTTTCAGTAGTGATTAGTGTATTTGTGTACAGCCTCTGGGCTGTGTTCCCTAATTGGCCTTTATCTCTTCCAGAGGAAGACCAGAGAGCTCTGTCTCTATCTTAGCCTCTCTGGGAGGCCCGGGCCAGATGGACTCTTCTTCCTCAGTCATTAGCTACTAGAACATGCTGTAGGGAGAGGGAGGCGAAAGCTTCTGTTTGTCTGTTTTAGTCTGCAGAAAACAGCACAGCCAATTCCCTGACCCATGCCCTATATGCAGTAGTCCATGATATTACCATGTCTGTCTCTGCTTGGAACCTCTTTAAAAAGAGACACAACCTGTAAAATGGAGTCAGAAAATATATCCTCCCATGTACAGTAGTTCAAAGTCACACATTTTCCCATACAGTTTCCAATACAACTTGACAGCCTCAAGCTTTCTTATGATTAATAAGCAAATGCATGTATGAATCATATTATACTGTAGGTTCAGGGAATCCTCTTGGGCTAGTTGACCAAGGGGCATGATAATATTATGCGAGATTACATGTGTGCTCCTGTTTTAGATATCCCCATCTGCATGTTTAAAGGTTAAATATGGAGACATGATGCAGCCAGGGACCACCACAGTGTACTTAATAAAACTAGGGTCCAAACACACAGTGTGCTGCAGGTCTTACTCTACTGACGTAGCACTACTTACTGCACTTAGAGATGATTTACCGCTTTGGCTGCAATAAAGCAATGCTAATGAGCCAACTTTTAAGAGACTGCCAGCCATACTGTAATTTGATAAGCCTACAGGTAAAACTTGGCACCTCCATAGTGTAGTTAACCAACTGGGAAGCGAGACGAGCATCTCACATGCTCACAGTAAGAAATGGCTAGCTTATCTCATAAGGGCCAGATATGGTGACCATAAACAAGACTGCTAGCTACCTCAGTGTGTGAATTCATAGTGATGTCAGTGCTCCTGATACCTGCTCTCTGTCGCCCCCTGTGGCTTTTCACAGCAACAGCGTCGTGAGCGGGAGATGAGGCAGCAGGAGCGTGAGCAGCGGCGCCGCGAGCAGGATGACAAGAGGCGTATGGAGGAGGTTGAACGCCGGCGTAAAGAGGAGGAAGAGCGTAGGAGGGCCGAGGAGGAGAAGAGGAGGGCTGACCGCGAGCAGGTAGGAGAACTCCACTTTCCTTCATGGTACTTGTAGTCTTCCCTGACACTTACTGACCTGTTTGTGTGTTTTGATTGTCAGGAGTACATCCGTCGGCAGTTGGGTGAGGAGCAGAGGCACCTGGAGATCCTGCAGCAACAGCTGCTACTGGTGAGACCAAACTCTGTAAGCCTATCTACCTACTTCTATCCATCTAGAGATCTCCCATTATCCATCTGTTCTTCTAGCCTTCTAAGCAATTGGATTGTAATCTAGGGGTTTCGCTTTGTAGTAGGGTGTTGAAGAATGGCTAGCAAGTTTGATTTATTGAAGTCACACTACTGTTACTGTCTCAAGAAAATCTGGTTAGAATATGTCACAGTATGGCAGATTTGAAGGGAGCCAACTTGAGGTTGGAGTTGATTAATTCTCTGGGCCAAGTTGAGGAAACCAGAATGTTTATTACAGTCCTTAAGTGATGATGTCACCAGGATGTGTCCTACCTACAGGAAGAGAGGGTTTTCATTGTTTCGTTCCCAATGTTCCTAATTCTGCTGAGATGGTGTGTTTGACAGAGCGGATCTCCGTGGCAATGTGTATGTTGTTGAAGGCCTGTGTTCCTCCAGGGGTTTGAGAAGAGGATATGATCACTCACATCCTTCCACACCACCATTGTGTGTCATCGATTCTCTTACACGGTCTTACTGTCCCCCACCATGTCTTACTGTCCCCCACCATGTCTTATTACTCATCAGCTTTTAGCTCAGTCATTTTTCCTTTACATTTTAAACCAATAGTTGGGCTATATTGGAATAGTCAATATTCTCACAGCATTTAAACACTTAGAATAATTGGGTCCTGGTGAAAATACAAACCCATTTATCAGTTCCCTAGTTACATGGATACAGCTTCTACCATTAAGACACCAGCCCTCATTCTACAGAACTCCTTCAATTAGAACAGCACACACCATGCCAAGTTTAGATGATACACCAACACGCCTCCCTGCACTCAGGAGCACAAGTGGAAGGAGCAGCGTAAGGCCCAGAAGCTCCAACAGCAGGAACAGTCCTACCTACTGCTTCTCCAACAGCAGCCCAAACCCCTGCTGCCAGCCACCAACAGGGCTCACTCCGCACAGCAACTGACCTCTGACCCCAAACTGCACAACTCAATATTAGGAAGGTGTTCTTAATGTTTTGTACACTCAGTGTAGAAACGACAGATACAGCCCTGTCTAAACTACCGACCCATATCCTTTTTACATTCAAATGGCAATCTATTAGCATTTCACCATTCCCCAATCAAGTATTCAGTGAAGAGTCCTGTTTGGGTTTTACATTAGCAGAAAAGTAGTTGAGTGTCATCCGCATAGCAATGATAAGAGAGACCATGTGAGGATATGACGGAGCTGAGTGATTTGGTGTATAGCGAGAAGAGGACCTAGAACCGAGCCCTGGGGGACACCAGTAGTGAGACTACGTGGTGCAGACACAGATCCTCTCGACATCACTTGGTAGGAGAGGCCTGCCAGGTAGGATACAATCCAAGAGTGTGCAGAGCATGAGCCTCCCAGCACTGAGAGGGTGGAGAGGAGGGTTCACATTATCGAAGGCAGCAGATACAGGAGCATGAGAACAGAGGAGAGAGAGAGTCAGCTTTGGCAGTGTGGAGAGCCTCTGTGACACAGAGGAGCAGGCTCTATTGAGTGACCTGTCTTGAAGCTTGACTGGTTAGGGTTAAGAAAATCGTTCTGAGGGAGTTGGCCAGAGACCGCACGCTCAAGTGTGTTGAAAATAAAAGGGATACCGGTCTGTAGTTTGGTGTCAGAGGGGTCGAGTGTTGGTTTCTTGAGGAGGGGAGCGACTCTGGCCATTTTGAAGTCAGAGGGGATGCAGCAAGTGGTCAGGGATGAGTTTGGGGAATGGGAGAAGGTCTCCAGAGATGGTCTGGAGAATGGAGGATGGGATGAGTTCAAGCGGGCAGGTTGTCGGACCTCACTAATCGAAGGATTTCATCTGAGGAGAGAAAGAGGTCAAGGCGTACGGTACTTCTGTGTGAGTGGGAACAGTGGACTCAATAGGCGGCGTGAATGAGGAGCGGATGTCGTTAACCTTCTTTTCAAAGTGGTTGACAGTAGTCTGCACAGAGGGGGAGGAGAATAGGTGGAAAATAGTTTCATAGGGTTAGAGGCAGAAGCTTTACATTTAGAGTCATAGAAAGTGGCTTTAGCAGCGGATACAGAGGAAGAGAAGGTATCGAGGGAGTGAAAGGATGATAGGTCCTCCGGAAGTTTAGTTTCCCTCCATTTTCGCTCAGCTGCCCACAGCGCTGTTCTGTAAGCTCGCAATGAGTCACTCAGCCACGGAGCAGGAGGGAAGGGCCAAGACAGCTGGCAGGAAAGGGGACAGTGCGAGTCATAGGATGCGAAAAGGGAGGAGGGGAGGGTCAGAGGCAGAATCAGGAGACAGGAGGGGAGAAGGATTTAGCAAAAGGGAGACAGGATAGAAGAGGAGAGAGTAGTGAGAGCGAAGATTGCATGACCATCTGGGTAGGGGCTGAGTGGCTAGGGTTGGAGGAGAGGGAGAAACAAAGTAGTGATCAGAGACACCTAGAGGTGGGTTGCAGTGAGATTAGTAGGCGAACAGCCTCTGGTAAAGATGAGGTCAAGTGTATTGCCTGCCTTTTGAGTGGGAGGGGACTGGGAAAGGGTCCGTTCAAAAGAGTCAAGGAGGGGAAAGAAAGTTGGAAATAAATTAATTGAAGGCAGACGTCGGGAGGTTTAAGTCGCAAAGTACGAAGAGCGGTGAGCCATCGTTAGGAAATGAGCTTATCAAGCGGTCAAGCTCATTGAGGAACTCAGGGCACCTGGTGGGCAATAGATGACAACAATGTTAAGCTTGAAATGGACAAGTGACGGTATGGAATTTAAATGCGGGTGAGTGAGCGAGAAAAGAGAATCCCCACTTAGGAGAAAATAGTAGCCCTGTGCCACCTCCGTGACGACCAGATGCTCTCGGACTATAAGAGAAAACGTAGTCAGATGAAGAGAGCAGCTGGAGAAGCAGTGTTCTCTGGGGTGATCCAGTTCTCCGTCAGGGCCAAAAAGTCAAGGGACTGAAGGGCAGCATAGTTCCAAACGCTGCCAGAGACCAGGAATTCCACATGGGTTGTGTGCCCAGGGTACACTAAATTAAAGGGTTGCAGCCAAGGGGTGGGGAGCGTCTGTAAAGCCTACAGGGAGAGGAGCGAACAGGTATAGAAAACAAGTACATAGTTGCCAAAGCTACAAAACAGCAAAATTAGATCTGAAAATGACAAGGTAAGATACAGTACTCAAGTGAGCGAGTGGTGTGGAGCCTTCCTCGATTTAACTCGGCAGAACCGTCTTTGTTTCAGCAGTCTTCATTTTGCAATGAGACCGCCGCTGATAGCTACCGCTGAAAAAACTGGGGAGACTGAAGTACTAACACTAATTGCTAATTTCCTTGCAGAGGTAAAGAGCACACCTCCTGGTACTAATTGCTAATTGCCTAGGAGAGGAGAAACCACTCCCCCTCCAATACAGCCACTGATTACAACGGCAACAGTCGCAAATTGCCCTGCCACTTAATTCTGGTTAATGTGTCAACAATCATCTGCAAGTTAATAGCGGTCAGCAGTTCACACACCATGTAGGCTACTGGGAAGACAGGCAGCACTTAAAGTAGATGGCCCTAACTAGCAAAAAGACAGTACTAGACAACAATCCGATTTAAGACAAATTATACTTATCACTCCTGGAGACATCAGGAGTCCTCTAGCTATAGAATGAAGCACAGTTGCTAAATTGAGACATACCCCTGTTGACAGATGGAGATGCAGCATCTTGGAAAAATGAAAACTGTCCACTTCTTTATATTTATATCCTCTTCAAACTAAATGATTATGAACATAAAACCTGAAGCTGTGCTTTGTCAGTCAACGCCTGCTTTGCTACTACTAAAACCTCTTATAATATTTTAGGTTTTGAATCAATTACCAGAAGGATCTCATGGTCTCTATTCATCATTCAATTAAACCAATTGGGGCCAATATACTGTATATCCAATGTGAAGGGTTCTGTCCACTTTCCGTCCACATCCATCCATACTCATTTCACTACCTTACACTTCTTACCATTTTACACACATAATGCCATTATTCAGTCATCATTCCCCACCGCCCCAGAGGTTTGTAAGACAATGTCGTTAACATGATCGCCACGTTTTCCTAACAGACGGAAAGATTACATAAGGATTATTTCCCCTTATTGAAGCCCTTTCAAGGGTGAAGTAACATGGACCACTCTGTTTCGGAGGGAGGTCACCTCAGCAGTTCTAATAAATGTTGCTGTTGTCACTCTCCTAGAGCTAATGACCCAGTCTGATATAGAGGCGGCTCATTAGGCCTCGCTCGGCTGTGTGTCCCTGGTTCTACCCTCTACTGGACTGGCCTGCTGCTTACATTATCACCTGCAGGGACAGAGTAAGGAGGACATGAGTCCAGAGTCTGGGTTTTGTCAGCTGAAAGGTTGAAACTAACCTGTCTCTCCTATCCTCAGGTGCAATACTAAACAGGTCTTGTTTTGTTGACTGTCTTCTGCCAGCAGGCAACCTTTGATGCACTGATACATGATGAACAAGCCCCTGTTGTTTGTCATGTCATAATAACTCTCTCTGGTTGTCATGTTGTGGTAATGGTTTGTAGTCCCTGCTAGTATGCCTGTTGTACTACATGGTGGTCGTAACTGATCTTGCTACTGACCCTCCCACTGCTGCTGTGGCTCAATCATCTTTGTCCTGGTGACGGTAATGACTCTGTCCCTCTCTCTGTCCTTGCTGTCTGTCCCTCCAGGCCGATGAGAGGTACCGTAAGAACATCCAAGGTTCTCATCAGGCTGCCCAGGTTAAGGTCCAGCCCCCAGTTCCTCCCCGCGCCGCAGAGACCGTCGCTAACGGAAACGCCCCCTTGGCCGTCCCACCCGCCATGCACAGACCCATGGAAGCCCAGGTAACCACGGCAACCAAGATGGCCAACCGCCAGTAGCTTATTCCTCCTTTCGCTGCACTGTCCTTTTCCTTAGTTATTTTTCCAATCCCTTCTTCTTTCCAGCTAGTTCTAACAGGGTCTCTCTCTCTTGCTCTCTCCGGGTTGTGTATCAGAAGTGCTGACTAACTACCTACAGTAGATGACTTTTCTTGTGTTCACTATCTTTCTCTTTTCCCCCTCCCTCTGTTCTAGCTGAATTCGTTCACTGTGTGGAGAAATGTGGGTGTTGTTCTCTGTCCCTTACTGATGACATAGTTGACCTTTCTATTCTCTTAATGGGTGCCTCCAATGTCTTTGATACTTCCTTGGGTGACAGCCTATCCTCCACCACTGTGTTCGTATGAAGTCCAGGCTGCTTGCTTCTGATCTGGCCACTCACTGCTCAATACCAGCTTCACCCACTCACTCGACCTCTGACTGCCTTCTGTATTGTGTGAATGTTTGTGTATGTGTGTGTATGCATTGCCAGGTTGTTGGTTGAGATGGTGACTCCTTTATAAAGGTAGAGCTGCTACATCGGGGCTGTGTGCGAAACAACACAAACACATCCATAATTCATCTTTCTGTTTTCACAGTGACTCAGTATATTACTAATCTCATCTGCTCAGGGAGAAGGACTCAACCAGCCCAGCGTGAATACTGTCATTGTCACAGTTCGCCATTCAGGGCAACATACCTTTTTTGGATAATGTCATGGTGATTAGATGAAACATTGTTGAATTTGGTGGCGATGATGATGTAATTGATTGCTACATTTTTTTGCAGAGCAATTAAATGCATTAGTCACTTCACTCGTTAGTGACACGTCATTAGAGACAGATATGAGGCGTGATGACATGGGCTCATTACAAAAGACTCATTTGTTGAGTGATAAATCTCTTTCTATGGGGTTTCCTGTCTGAGGGCTTCTCAGTGCATATTTGAAAGTAATAGGACATGGAATAAATTCAGGTATAAACCTAGGATGGATGTGTTCCTATTGGATTATACTCTTCTCAGTTACTTTTCCCTGAAAAAGTATCCTTGAATATGTACATGCGATATGTGAGTGTGTGTGTGATGGTGTTTAACTGTCTATGCATGATGCTAGCTCATCTGTGTATGCCTTGTTTATGTGATCCATGCTCATTCTCACAACTGGTGATGAGACTGAAGCATCATGAGCACCAAAACAGGTGGAGCTGTCATTAGCTGTCTGTGATGTGAACCAATCAAATGGTTCATCTGTCTTCCTAAGACTTCATATTGGTTCCATGTCCGCTCCACCCATTTTTATGCTTCCTGAAGCTTCAGTATCCAATCACTGTCTGCTGCCTGTGTTTGTGGTCTTGTTCTCTTGTTGTGTCTCCCTCCTCCTCCTCCTCCTCCCCCAAACCTCCCCCACTCCTCCCAATGTGTCCTCCCGCTCTGATGCACCCCGTCTGTCTCTCTGTCTCTGGAAGGTCCAGTGGTCCCACCTGGCCACTCTAAAGAGCAGCATCGCCGCTCCCCCCGTCATCTCACGCTCTCATTCCTTCAGTGAGCCCATCGTCCCTGGCTTTGCACACCTCAACCTGCGCTCTCAGGAGCAGCACCATCAACCTGCACCATCATCATCATCGCCCGCACGCACTGACCTGCAGCCCCACCCCCAGCCTAGGGCCACTCCCCTCGAGAAGGCCCCCACAGACGACACCCCTCCCAGGGTAAGAACAGGCCTATCCCCTGGCAAAGGCGGGTAGACTGGTAGTCATTTGACGGCTTTACTAGGAAGTCTGAACTGTAGACCGGTATACTGGTAGTCACTAGATGGCCATGCTGGAGAGGACAATACTGGAGTGAATGAGCAGAGTGACGTTGTCTCAGTAACAGTTCTAAGATGGAGCGACCTCCTCCTAGAGCTCTGCTAACCAACCCGAGCACGACGGGCCCCGACATTATACATCGGGTTAGGGCTGGGTGTCAGAAGTGCTTCAACCTAGTCAAATATAAAACAGGAGAGATTATTTCACCGAAAATAATAATGTTCCTTGAGTTTTGAGTGATGAAAAGTAGCTAACAGCTAACTGCTCTCTAATGTCTCGTCATTGAGCAGAGCAGCCCAAGCGGCGCCGTTGCTATGGATACTTTCAGACCCAGAGCCGCCATGAGAAAAGCACATGCAGAGCGAGCAGAGTGCAGGAGCGAGTGACGGACAGAGAGGAGCAGCTAATGGATTTACTAATGGAGGAAGTTATTTCGGGTTTTGGGCAGGGCCGGGCCTTCAATTTGTCAGAATCAATCGGGCCTGAACGTCGCAGGCATGGCTCGGGCTTGGGCGTAAAATTCATGCCCGTGCAGGGCTCTACCACCTCCTCACCTTGGCCTGCTGAGAGGATTCAGAGAGAGCAGAAGGTTATGAAAGGATTAGAGGTCCATTTTCTGTTCTCTATCCCACCTCTATTGTCTCTCCTCACAGAACCCTCCCTCATTCAGCCTCCCAGACCTCAGAAGGAGACTGATTTAAAAATAGCAGCGAAAGAAAGCTGCAGCAGCAATCACTTGAGTTCTGAGGGCTTTTGCATCTCAGCATTTTAGAAATGCTCCCAAGTTAATGGGACACTGGAGGCTGTCACAAATGAAGAGTAGGATTCAGCCTGTTCAAGGAAAATATTCATCATGTTGAAATCCAGACCGTGGCCCCTTTTCTTGCCCCCATCTGCACAAATTAGAGGTGGAATTATTGTTCTCTCTTCACATAGGGCCTACCAATCAAATATCACTTCCTCTTCTTTGGTGAGGTATGAGTATGTCATTTCCTTTTCTGCCCCCTCCAATTCCCGTGCAAGCCTCTGTTAGTGTCTCATATCAATGTCAGTTAGCATTCCATCTGAATGGAGTGGCTGTTTGTTCTGTTCTGCTCTGCTTTGAATGCTGTTCCTAGGCTGTTTTCCCTCCTGTCCCCTGGAAATTATTAGAGAGAAATGCTAGCAAATCAATAATATAACCTGACAACTGTGTTTGTGTTAAGGCAGGGGTTAATAAGGGAAGTGTGTGGATATAATGCTGTATTTTGCTGTGTGTAAGACCTAACTCTCTTTCAGTAGGGTGGCTTTACACAGTGTGGGTATGGGGGGGGACACGACATCATTGGACATTGTAGAAACGTTGTCGGGACCTTGTAAGGGCGTCTTAACAGTGTGTCCAGCGTTTGTGCTCCTGGCACCCCTGTCACGCTCTCTCGTACATACACGCTCTCCGAGTGTGTGTGTGTGTGTGGCCGTAGAGTGTGTGTGTGTGAGCTGGCATCTGTCTGTATGGAAGGTTCCTGTGAGGACAACGTCCAGGTCTCCAGTACTGTCACACAGGGACTCCCCTTTCCATGGCAATGCCAACGCTACGCCTAGCAACCCGGTGAGCCAGAGGAACGCCAGCAGGTACCTTTTCATGTCCCTCCATTTATCTATTTTTCTCTCTCTCTCGTTTTCTTTCTTTCTCTCTTTTTCTATCTGTACTTTCTCTGTCTGTCTCTCTGTCTGTCTCCCCATCTCTGTCTGTCTCTCCATTTTGCTATTTCACCATCCTCCTCTTTTCTTCGAGTGTTCAGTAATGTAAAACCTCTTCACTGTGTGTCTGTCTGTTCTCTGTGGAGCCCTGGTCTTCTCTGTGTGTGGATACTGTGTGGGAGGGTTTTATGTAACATCACTCACTGCTCTGCCCTGTGATACATATCCTTGTCTCCTATTTGTGTGTGTGTGCATGTGTGCACACCTTTTCTCTCTTAGCAATTCTCTAAAATGCTAAGCTTAATCTCCTGCGAGACTTTGTGTGCATGTCTGTGTCTATGGAAATGTATATGTGTCTATATGTGTCTGTCTAGTAATATGTATATAGTTTGCCTATATGTAAAGTATGTGTGTCTGTAATATAAACCACCCCCTCGGTCTCTCTCCACAGTGCTGCAGCGGAACCGCGTCTGCTGTGGGAGCGGGTGGAGAAGCTGGTTCCCAGGCCAGCCAGTGGTAGTAGTGGTAGTACTGGCAGTTCCTCTGGCTCCAGTAACTCCAGCTCTCATAGCGGCTCAGGGGAGAGATTCAGAGCCCGCTGTGAGTCTTATGTTCCCCCGATACACACACACACACACACACACACACACACACACACACACATGCATAGTCTCATGAGCAGTTATTTACATACACACTCTCAAGACACACACACACACACACACATAACTATTGAATACAAAGTACTCACATTTACATTCAATTATTGGCAATCAAATTATCATACATTTAGCACCACATTGCAGCATTGGATTACAGCATATGATGCATGAGAGTACATTAGCCATTGAAAACACTCCAAACAATTCTCCACATAGCTCTTTAATTTACTGACCGGTATCCCTCGCTGTCCCCCTCTCAGCCTCGTCAAAGTCTGAGGGTTCTCCCCTGCAGCGCCCAGAGCATGCTGGGAAAACCCCAGAGGAGAGGAAGGACTTGGTCAGATCTAACCGACCGGTGGTGAGATCTTACCCCCGTGAAACTAGTGGACTAGTTGACTAGTGTACTAGCTAGTGTACTAACTAGTGTTGAACGAGACCAAGTGTTGTGACAATTCAGAAAGTGGTGGAAATAACAGTTTTGAGTGGGAATGATGGTTTCACAATGATCTGACATAGTTCTTTGTTTGTGTGTTTTGCCCTTTGCGCTGTGGATTACCGGTACTCATGTGAATTCTGTAGGGGGAAGTGGTAAGCTAGAGTGAAATAGAGCGTGTGTTTGTACTGACAATCTCATTGGCTGAAGGGTTTTGTACTAATGGCTTGCCTCTCTCCTGATTGGTGCTCTTTTACTCATGCTCCTTTTAACCACAATGTCTCCTCCCCATACTTCTTATGTTTCTTTCTATTGGATCATTCAATCTCACTCTCATACTTGCAGCTCCTTCCTTCCTTGTATGCTCTGGTCTGTTCTTGTCATCTGATGACTCACTAACCTCTTCCAGCCTTGTGGACAGATTGGAATTATGGCAGCAGTGTGTAATTACTCATCTCTTTTCTCATCTCCTGTTGGCTTTGCTACTCACCGGCCCGCTCCTCATTGGCTGGCACACCTGTGACTTCACTTCCTCCACAAGCAGCTTCCTGCATCCTGTCTCCTGCATTTAACCCTGCGAGTGACCCGGCAACAAATCCACAACCTGGAAAAAGAGAGCTAAAAGAGAGAGAGAGCGAGACTAAAAGAGAGAGAAAAAGGGAAGTTCAGAGTTTGACCTCTAACCTCTGAACTCCCCCTCCTTTCTAGGATCTGACGGCGCTGGCCAAAGAGCTGCGTGCAGTGGAGGACGTTCCACGCCCCCACAAGGTGACGGACTACTCCTCATCTAGTGAAGAGTCGGGGACCACAGATGAGGATGATGATGAAGAGGTGGACCAGGAGGGAGGGGAGGAGTCTACCTCAGGACCAGAGGACTCTCGGGCTGTGTACGTAGAGGAGGACATGTACCTGAACCCTAACCCTAACCCCAACCCTATCCCTACTCACCATGACATGATATTGCAATGACATTTGAGCATGTGATTGCTGTGAAGGAAAATTCATGTGATTATAACGATCTCTTCCTGATTCTCTGTTTATGCCACCTCCACCACCAGCTCTTCGAGGCTGAGCAACGGTGAGACGGAGTCGGCGAAGATCATGATCGTTCACGGCGAGAGTGACGCTAAAACCACACCCTGTAAAGATGGCACTCTGATCGTCAGACCGGTAAGGCCAACACCCAGGCCATACCGACCACCTCTCTTATAACAACATAAATCAGTCACACTGTAAACCTTTTGAGTTATTTTATTGTGGTATTTCATTCACTAATTTGTCCCCTTATGGTTTATCCACTGTGTTTGATATTGTGTTGGACCTTGTTTTGTGATTTGTTCTCTCATTGTTTACTTTGTGTTGCTGGTGAAGCCAAGGGGTTAGAGTAGAATGGAAAGGGCTTTGTTAACCTGAAGAAATGCACCCACTCCCAGTATTAACCACCCGTTCCCCCATTGAATGACAGTATTGTCCTGCAACAGATTGAACATCATAAATTGGCACCACTAAAGACATATGAACAATTTAGCAAGAAATTAAAATTAGGGTAAAATTACACTTTTGATCTCTGTTATTGACAATTCTCTTTTACTTAATCCCCAAATAAATGTGTCTGAAGTCTCATACATTAGTAGACTGTAGCTTCAGTAACTACTTCAGTAGACTAGTCTTCCCTTAACACAAGTAGCCAATAGAATCGCTCCACCTCAGGGAAAGAAACCTAGACCCAAAGTGTGCCCCTCTTCTTACTTCCAGAGAGCAGGTGACAGCAAAATGCGACCTTTTCCCAGCCCTGGTCAAGGCCCTGTCCTTGGCTTAGTCCCCAGTCCCGGGCTGATTCACCCTGCCCTCCAGGGCCACCCCGGTCTCCAAGGCCACCAGGAGAGAAATGGCTTTGCAGGCCGCATTCACCTCCTGCCTGACCTGATCCAGCAGAGCCACCACTCCCCCTCCTCCTCCTCCGCCTCCTCCTCCCCCTCCTCCTCCAGCCTGGCCAGCCCCACCATGTCAATGTCCCCCCAGAGCCCCCTGGACAAGCTCAGCATGCTCCTGGAGGTATGTCCCTCTCAGCCTCCCTCTGACCCCTGGTCCCTGGTCCTCCCTCAGGCCTGGGTCTGTTAGGACTGGTTGCATCTGGTGGTGCTCTCTCTCTCTCTCTCTCTCTGGCCATCTGGTGGTGCTCTCTCTCTCTCTCTCTGGCTATCTGGTGGTGCTCTTTCTCTCTCTCTCTCTGGCCATCTGGTGGTGCTCTGTCTCTCTCTCTCTCTGGCTATCTGGTGGTGCTCTCTCTCTCTCTCTCTCTGGCTATCTGGTGGTGCTCTTTCTCTCTCTCTCTCTGGCCATCTGGTGGTGCTCTGTCTCTCTCTCTCTGGCCATCTGGTGGTGCTCTCTCTCTCTCTGGCCATCTAGTGGTGCTCTTTATCTCTCACTCTCTCTGGCCACCTGGTGGTGCTCTCTCTCTCTCTCTCTCTCTCTCTGGCCATCTAGTGGTGCTCTTTCTCTCTCTCTCGCTCTCTCTCTCTCTCTGGCCATCTGGTGGTGCTCTCTCTCTCTCTCTGGCTATCTGGTGGTTCTCTCTCTCTCTCTCTCTCTCTCTCTCTCTCTCTGGCCATCTGGTGGTGCGCTCTCGCTCTCTCTCTCTCTCTCTCTCTCTCTCTCTCTCTCTCTCTCTCTCTCTCTCTCTCTCTCTCTCTCTCTCTCTCTCTCTCTCTCTCTCTCTCTCTAGCCACCTAGTGGTGCTCTCTCTCTTTTCCTTTTTTTCTGAGTGCGATAACTACTCTAGTTTACGCCAAGCTCTGTAGGTGTGGTTGATGGATCATTTTTTGTTGCTCCCCTCTGAAAAAAATATTATTTTGACCAAGTTTCTAGTATTTTACATAATTCCTTATTTTTTAGACTTTTTGTTTTTACTAGGTTGTGCTGGCTTACATCTCCTCTGAGGCACATTATGATTATTATTTGTGGCTTTTAGTCACAGATCATTAAAGAGATCTTCCAGAAACCCTCTTAAGACTAGGCTACAACAAAGCATATTTCAGGAATAAACATAGACAATTATTTTATCATGAAAAGCCATTCCTTGAGATGTTTTTGTTCCTCAACTTTTCTTTTTACCTGAACATTCCATCTGTTTTACCCACCACCATAGATACCTCCTTGTTTTTGCCTGTTTCTCTTTAGTTCACTGTGTGATTTTGTGAATTTTTTCCTGTACCTGATTTCTCTATGCTCCTTACATCTGCCCCAGTTTATTGGTTCTGTATTTCTGTTTTGTGGTATTTTGTGGAGCTATGGGAAATGGTGTTTAATGTTTCTACGTACACACACTGCTGCCATTGTAGTCTTGGTCTATTAGTTGGCTGGTAAGTCAATGACATAATAATAGAAAGACGTGATTCTATATGTCCTCATTGTTGTTCTATTCCCCTGTTCCTCTAGAGCCATTCTTCCAGCAACAGCATGCAGAAACACAAGTCCTCCTCCTCCTTCACTCCCTTTATTGATCCACGCCTCCTCCAGGTCTCTCCATCCGGTGCTGCTCTCAACAACCTGGGTAAGCCACTCCCACCAGCTCCCAGCCCTCTTATTGGACGACCAGTCCCCATCAGCAGTATTTGAGTGGTTCTCTCCAGTGTCAATAAACCTAGTGTAAGATTCTGAGGCAACACCAGAGAACACCCGTTTATTCCAAACAAATGTTATAGAAATGTATACTAAATATATAACATTTATAGAAATGTATACTAAATATATAACATTTATAGAAATGTACACTAAATATATATAACTGAATATATATGATAGTAATACATAATCCAGGCTCTGTCGTAGCCGGCCGCGACCGGGGGACCCATGGGGCGGCGCACAATTGGCCCAGCGTCGTCCAGGGTAGGGGAGGGAATGGCCGGCAGGGATGTAGCTCAGTTGGTAGAGCATGGCGTTTGCAACGCCAGGGTTGTGGGTTCGATTCCCACGGGGGGTATGAAAAAATAAATAATAATGTATGATTTACACTAACTGTAAGTCGCTCTGGATAAGAGCGTCTGCTAAATGACTAAAATGTAAATGTAATAATCAGCTTGTATTTCCAACTGAATCCCTTCCTTGTCCTCTGCAGCTTTTGGGAACGACGCCAGGCTGGCAGAGGCACTGAGGGCGGACCCGTCACGTAAAGGCTCTGTGGTCAACGTAAACCCCGTCAACACACGGCCGCAGAGTGACACCCCAGAGATCCGCAAGTACAAGAAAAGGTTTAACTCTGAGATCCTGTGTGCTGCACTCTGGGGTGAGTGGTCACAATTATCTCTGCTATGTAGTTATCACAGTAATATCAGTCTTCACCACCAGGTGACAGCAATCTAAATGCAAAACTGTGTGTGTGTGTGTGTGTGTGTGTGTGTGTGTGTGTGTGTGTGTGTGTGTGTGTGTGTGTGTGTAGGCGTGAACCTCCTGGTGGGCACAGAGAGTGGTCTGATGCTGCTGGACCGTAGTGGTCAGGGGAAGGTCTACCCCCTCATCAGCCGACGCCGCTTCCAACAGATGGACGTCCTGGAGGGACTCAACGTCCTGGTCACTATATCAGGTACACACACACACAGTTACTATGCATAGGTGGGAAAACAGACATTCAAACACGCGCATACACACACACAGTTACTACACATACATGGGAAAACACAGACATGCACACAAACCCACGCGTAATGGGTTTAAGTGATCTCTCTGAGACCGTGCGTGCAAAGCAGACATAGTGTCTGACTTTAGGTTCCTGCTTCTCTTTCCTGTGCTGTGGTCACATTATTCACTGTAACAACCAACCAACGCTCGCAGGTCTGTGTCACCCAGTGATGTGTTGGATGTCACAACAGACATTCAGCCAGAGTAAATTGAGTAAATTGCCAGTGTAGGACGTCATACACAGAGTGTACAAAACCTTAAGAACCGCCCCCCCCATGATGCTGGCCCATGTTCACGCCAATGCTTCCCACAGCTCTGTCAAATTGGCTGGATGTCCTTTGGATGGTGGACCATTTCTGATACACATGGGAAACTGTTGAGCGTGAAAAACCCAGCACCGTTGAAGTTTTTGATGCAAACCGGTGCACCTTTTGTCTTGCCCATTCACCCTCTGAATGGCACACATACACAATCCATGTCTCAATTATCTCAATGCTTAAATCATTCTTTAACCTGTCTCCTCTCCTTCATCTACACTGATTGAAATGGATTTAACAAGTGACATCAATAAGGTATCATGGCTTTCACCTGGATTCACCTGGTCAGTCTATGTCATGGAAAGAGCAGGTGTTCATAATGTTTGGTACACTCAGTGTATACATGTAATGCATGTCCACTGACAAACAAACAAAGGTTTCCATGATGGAAGCACAGAAACACACACAGATTGCAGTGATTGCAGTGTCATCTGTCATTTTGATGTCATATTGCAATGAAGGAAAGAAAGGGTCCATGCTCATGAGACGTTGAGACAATTTGACGTTGCTTCGTTTTTAGCGTAGATAGAAATACATACGGTTTATCCTTCAAGCCATTGTCATTGTACTGCATCATTCTCAGTAGATGAATATAAAAGTTGTGTGTGACGACTTGTTGGTCAGTTCACAGAAAATGTTATTTGTCTTTCAAATTGCCCACAACCTCGATGTACATTCACAAACACAGTTTTCCATTATGTTGCAACGTGTTGTCAAATATACAGTACAGGTTGTGCAACAATACAGACCCTGTCAGATCCTCTGTCCTAGTATCCATAATGTCAATCACAATTGAAACAAATAATTCAATACTTGGGGAAAAACTCCAAAAACTCCATAATATACTACATGACCAGAAGTATGTGGATACCTGCTCGTAGAACATCTCATTCCAAAATCATGGGCATTAATATGGAGTTGGTCCCCCCTTTGCTGCTATAACAGCCTCCACTCTTCTGGGAAGGCTTTCCACTAGATGTTGGAACATTGCTGCGGGGACTTGCTTTCCATTCAGCCACAAGAGCATTAGTGAGGTCGGGCACTGATGTTCGGCGATTAGGTCTGGCTCGCAGTCGGCGTTCCAATTAATCCCAAAGGTGTAAGATGGGGTTGAGGTCAGGGCTCTGTGCAGGCCAGTCAAGTTCTTACACACCAATCTCGACAAAACATTTCTGTATGGACCAAGCCTTGTGCACAGGGGCATCCGCCAAACCCAGATTTGTCCGTCGGACTGCCAGATGGTGAAGCGTGATTCATCACTCCAGAGAACACGTTTCCACTGCTCCAGAGTCCAATGGCGGCGAGCTTTACACCACTCCAGCCGACGCTTGGCATTGCGCATGGTGATCTTAGGCTTGTGTGCGGCTGCTCGGCCATGGAAACCCATTTCATGAAGCTCCCGACAAACATTTATTGTACTGATGTTGTATCCAGAGGCAGTTTGGAACTCGGTAGTGAGTGTTGCAACCAAGGGAAGAAGATTTGTATGCGCTTCAGCACTCGGCGGTCCCGTTCTGTGAGCTTTTGTGGCCTACCACTTCGCGGCTGAGTCGTTGTTGCTCCTAGATGTTTCCACTTCACAATAATAGCACTTACAGTTGACCGGGCAGCTCTAGCAGGGCAGAAATTTGACGAACTGACTTGTTGGAAAGGTGGCGTTCTATCACGGTGCCTCGTTGAAAGTCATTAAGCTCTTCAGTAAGGCCATTCTACTGCCAATGTTTGTCTATGGAGATTGCATGGCTGTGTGCTCGATTTTATACACCTGCCAGCAACGGGTGTGGCTGAAATAGCCGAATCCACTAATTTGAAGAGGTGTCCACATACTTTTGTGTATATATAGTGTACCTCCATTCATTGTAATACATTTGTACAATAAAGCAACCTCCCTCCACCCATTACATGGAAGTAGGATGAAGTTGCCCCTACACACTGATCTTGGGTCAGTTTGGCATTTCCCCTACTAATGGTTAAGTATAGGATTTGGGGAGCGGAAGCTGATCCTAGATCTGTACCTAGGGGAAACTTCACCCCTGTGCCATTACATTTGGAATATATACTGTATCGTAGGTCCATTGTAGGTACCCAGACCCTTGACTTCTCCCCTTGTCTGACCCTGTCCCGTGCAGGCAAGAAAAACAAGCTGCGTGTTTACTATCTGTCCTGGCTGAGGAACAAGATCCTGCATAACGACCCTGAGGTGGAGAAGAAACAGGGCTGGGTCACTGTGGGAGACCTCGAGGGCGCTGTGCACTACAAAGTTGGTGCGTTCCATCTTCAGCATGCGTCTGGCCAGTGGGGTTAAAAGGATGGGAAGTTAGAGTGTGGGGAGAAATTCATTTTTTTAGGACAGTTTTTGCATAGAAATTAATGTTATGGTCAAATGTGTCTGCACAAACATGTTTAGTAACCACCGAAGACTGTGGATTTTTCATATATGGCCCTCCAAATGAACAAAACAATGTTTTCTCTCAGTTGGTCTTCACCCACTGTTAGAATCACTATCTTTAAGACAGCCAGAGTAGGGTGCATAATACTCTGGAACAGCATGTCATGTTATAACTGCAACATGTTGGAAGAGAAAAAGTCCAGAGTTTGGTAATGATATGTACATCAACTTCCTGGAAGAGACCAGAATGAAATGTTCTGTCAGTCAGGCCATCTATGTCCTGCCCATGAGTTTAAGTCATAGAATCATATACTTTTTTTGTGGGAAAGTACACAATTGCTTCCTAATACGAAATACCCTCGGTCTACCAAGCGAATGCCAAATATCCCAATTCTGTCATTTCTCTGAGTAAGATAATACGACTGTAATATTATGCCAGCTAAAAATATTTTGGTATAATTGAATTTCCTACTAATAATAGAACTTAAAAACAATAAGCCTGCTGAACAATTAATCAAATAGCTACCCGGACAATTTGCACTTACCCCCCACCCCCCCCTTATTTTCTTAAAACTGCATTGTTGGTTAATAAGGATCTGACCCTTTTTTTCAATTTTCGCCTAAAATTACATACCCAAATCTAACTACCTGTAGCTCAGACCCAGAAGCAAGGATATGCATATTCTTGATACCATTTGAAAGGAAACACTTTGAAGTTTGTGGAAATGTGAAATTAATGTAGGAGAATATAACACATTAGATCTGGTAAAAGATAATACAAACAAAAAAACATGCGTTTTCTATTTATTTTTTTGTTCCGTCATCTTTGAAATGCAAGAGAAAGGCCACAATATAATATTGCAGTTTAGGTGCAATTTAGTTTTTGTATACAAAGTTTTTTGATTGATCCAGTGAAGCATTGCAATACTGGACTATTTTGTATCAAGTCTGCCCAAATGTGCCGAATTGGTCAATTGATACATTTTCAAGTACATAACTATAGAGAACATACAAAAATGTAAGTTTACACACTCCCAGGAATGTCATACATGATGGATCATTAGCTTATACACTAACTTTCACACATCTAGATGGCCGGGCGGGTTGGGTGTGGAGCCAGAGACATCAGGGGTTCAAACTGTAGAACCCAGTTCCATCATTTGAATATAGAAATGGATTTTATCAAACAAAACTATGCTACATTTTATCTCTGGGACCCTTAGGATGACAAATCAGAGCAAGATTACTGAATGTAAGTACATTATTTACCTTCAGAGGTGAATGTGTCAAACTAGTTGCCGTGATACATTTTTTGTTGTTGTGCACTCTCCTCAAACAATAGCATGGTATTTTTTCACTGTAATAGCTACTGTAAATTGGACAGTGCTGTTAGATTAACAATAATTTAAGCTTTCTGCCCATATAAGACATGTCTATGTCCTGGAAAGTTTGCTGTTACTTACAACAGTCATGCTAATCACATTAGCGCACGTTAGCTCAACCGTCCCGTATACGAGACACCGATCCCGTAGATGTTAAGGGCTTGTACATGTGGCAAATAAAAATTGATTTGACTTTGATACTGTCATTAAAAGTCTGAATTGACCCTGTTAGTTGGTGCCTCTTATGACAACTTCCTCGTGTGTCCCCACTGTTTAATTTCCCAGTGAAATACGAGAGGATCAAGTTTTTGGTGCTGGCCCTGAAGAACTCGGTGGAGGTCTATGCATGGGCACCGAAGCCCTACCACAAGTTCATGGCCTTCAAGGTGAGCATTAAGGAAACCTAAGATGCTTATGGGAGCTATTCACTTCCATCTATTCAATCAGTTATGCAGCTATTGTGAATTGTTATGACAATCATACAATGACACACACACACACACACTACTGTACTGTATGTGAATAACCTTTGCCCCCTGGTTGACCCCTGCAGTCATTTGGTGACCTGGTGCACAAGCCCCTACTGGTTGACCTGACGGTGGAGGAGGGTCAGAGATTAAAGGTCATCTATGGCTCCAGTAACGGATTCCATGCCGTGGACGTGGACTCAGGGGCAGTCTACGACATCTACCTGCCCACACATGTAAAAAACACTTGTGTCTATGTAACCTCTCCTCCCTCATCCCCTTCTCTCCCTCCTCTATTTTTCCAAGGATAACTTAATTCAATAATTAACATGGTTCCCCCTCTCTCCCTCCCTCTCTCTCCCTCCCTCTCCCTCTCCCTCTCTCCCCCTCTCCCCCTCTCCCCCTCCCTCTCTCTCTCTCTCTCCCTCTGTAGATCCAGACCAGTATCCAGTCCCATGCCATCATCATCCTGCCCAACACAGATGGCATTGAGCTGCTGGTGTGTTACGAGGACGAGGGTGTCTATGTCAACACTTATGGACGCATCACCAAGGACGTGGTGCTGCAGTGGGGCGAGATGCCCACTTCTGTGGGTAGGTGGAAACACACACACACACATACACACACATACAAATACACATACACACTCACACACAATAGGTCCTTAAACATGTTAACTCGGTTGCCATACCACCGACTCACCCCCCTCTCCCCCTCTTTGTCTTTCTCTGTAGCTTATATCCGTTCTAACCAGATCATGGGCTGGGGGGAGAAGGCCATAGAGATCAGGTCTGTGGAAACCGGACACCTGGACGGGGTCTTCATGCACAAGAGAGCCCAGAGACTCAAGTTCCTGTGTGAGAGGAACGACAAGGTGAGACCCCTAGACACACATGCACGTACCAGTGTTTCCATTAGCCGGTAATAGCCGGCTTTTGTCCGATTAAAAAAAATAGAATATCAGATACATAAAATTGGTGCCGGCCAATTGTCCGGGAGAATAATAAATAAATCCCATTAGGAAATAATGCTTATTAGCCTATTAATTGATGGAAATACCAGTCGATGGAAATACATTTGACTGGTCATGCTTATCGGTTTATAGGTTAATTAAATTGGCGTGTGTGTACAATATATTTGTTATGTGTCTTATTTATCACACAAATACAGCATACAGATACAGAGCCTTTGAGTGGAAAATCTGTCAGACATGCAAGAGCTGCAGCTGCAGCATCTTGTGGTGTTTTCAAGACAACTGGGAACTCGGAATTATACAAGGTCAAATCATGACGTCAGTGATCTTCAGGTCGGAAAGTCAGAGCTCTAGAAAGAGGCCCGAGTTGGAATTCCAAGTTGGATGACCGTTCAAAAAGATTTTTCCCAGTCGGAGGTCGTTTTTCTTCCCAGTTCCAGGTTGTCTTGAACGCACTGAAGTCGGAAGTCTGAGATTTCCGAGTTCCCAGGCTTCATCAGCAGCCCACACAACTTTGCAATGAGCTGGAGGCAGTATGCATTTTGAAAACATATACTTAATTGTTTGAAACCTGAACGTTTTAATACATATGAGGCATGTCTCACCTTGCTTCAAAGTAGCCTATTAGATCACCTCTTTCTAAATTTCTTTCTGAAACTGCTTGCATATGCAGTGCCTTTTAACAACAGTGTATTCCCAATAATTTCATTGTGGAACAAGCATTCATTTAATTTGCGCATAGCCTCCGCATTGCTTCGCTTATAATGTGAAGAAATAATAGTTTATCAACATTTTAAGCTAAACGTTCTGATATGTTGCATCAGACTCATTACTTTAAAAAATATATATATGTAGCCTAGGCCTACTGGTTGTATGAATCTGGGATCTATCGTCCCACAACTGTCCCAGAGTCTGTTTGGAATAGGCTATTTATTTCTCGACAAGCTGACCAATAGAATAGGTAGCCTAAACTTTTCTACTATAGTAGATTGACATAGGCTAGTGATTTTGCTGTTCGTTACTCATCTTGTTGGCTGTGGAAAAGTAAATGTGGACAGTTATTCTAACATGTTCAAAGTGCACATCAGAATTTGGTAAGAAGGAACGCACATCGTTGCATCCTCGACATGCATGTTCTGTTAATATGAATTACCATATTCTAAATGTGATTTCTGTCATTCTAAGCCCCGTGGGTGGACGCCCTAATCAGGTTACGCACCCAATGCGTATGGGTCCGGTAAATTTCTCAAATGTCCGGTAAATTTCTCAAATGTCCGGTAAATTAAAATGTTGCCTGTCAAATGTCCGGCGACACATTATCCTAACGGAAACCCTGGCACGTACACACACACACTCGGAGGTATTCTACCCAGGTTGAGGGCTGTTTACACTAATAACTCTGTCCCTCTCAGAGCTCTGTCTCCTGTTAGTTTGTCACAAAGCGCTGACTCATCCTGTGTCCCAGGCAGGCTCAGGACCCCATTCATTGAGTCTATCAATCTATCAATCATTCCATTAAAACACAGGGTATTTTTAGACAGACAGCAATTAGGCTAAAGTGGCCATCAAAGCTAGTTTCTGACCCTTAACTCTCCTTCGTTGACTAGTAGGGTAGGCAGAGTAATGCACAGCTATACACCAACTATACCCCCTGCTTCATTAAGAATGGCAAAATAAGGTTTTTGTTGCCTTTTTGAATTTCATGTTCGGGATTCTTTTTGCCTCTGTTGGATTTACAGTGGGGGAAAAAAGTATTTAGTCAGCCACCAATTGTGCAAGTTCTCCCACTTAAAAAGATGAGAGAGGCCTGTAATTTTCATCATAGGTACACGTCAACTATGACAGAAAAAATGAGGAAAAAAAATCCAGAAAATCACATTGTAGGATTTTTAATGAATTTATTTGCAAATTATGGTGGAAAATAAGTATTTGGTCAATAACAAAAGTTTCTCAATACTTTGTTATATACCCTTTGTTGGCAATGACACAGGTCAAACGTTTTCTGTAAGTCTTCACAAGGTTTTCACACACTGTTGCTGGTATTTTGGCCCATTCCTCCATGCAGATCTCCTCTAGAGCAGTGATGTTTTGGGGCTGTCGCTGGGCAACACGGACTTTCAACCCTCCAAAGATTTTCTATGGGGTTGAGATCTGGAGACTGGCTAGGCCACTCCAGGACCTTGAAATGCTTCTTACGAAGCCACTCCTTCATTGCCCGGGCGGTGTGTTTGGGATCATTGTCATGCTGAAAGACCCAGCCACGTTTCATCTTCAATGCCCATGCTGATGGAAGGAGGTTTTCACTCAAAATCTCACGATACATGGCCCCATTCATTCTGTTCTTTACACGGATCAGTCGTCCTGGTCCCTTTGCAGAAAAACAGCCCCAAAGCATGATGTTTCCACCCCCATGCTTCACAGTAGGTATGGTGTTCTTTGGATGCAACTCAGCATTCTTTGTCCTCCAAACACGACGAGTTGAGTTTTTACCAAAAAGTTATATTTTGGTTTCATCTGACCATATGACATTCTCCCAATCCTCTTCTGGATCATCCAAATGCACTCTAGCAAACTTCAGACGGGCCTGGACATGTACTGGCTTAAGCAGGGGGACACGTCTGGCACTGCAGGATTTGAGTCCCTGGCGGCGTAGTGTGTTACTGATGGTAGGCTTTGTTACTTTGGTCCCAGCTCTCTGCAGGTCATTCACTAGGTCCCCCCGTGTGGTTCTGGGATTTTTGCTCACCGTTCTTGTGATCTTTTTGACCCCACGGGGTGAGATCTTGCGTGGAGCCCCAGATCGAGGGAGATTATCAGTGGTCTTGTATGTCTTCCATTTCCTAATAATTGCTCCCACAGTTGATTTCTTCAAACCAAGCTGCTTACCTATTGCAGATTCAGTCTTCCCAGCCTGGTGCAGGTCTACAATTTTGTTTCTGGTGTCCTTTGACAGCTCTTTGGTCTTGGCCATAGTGGAGTTTGGAGTGTGACTGTTTGAGGTTGTGGACAGGTGTCTTTTATACTGATAACAAGTTCAAACAGGTGCCATTAATACAGGTAACGAGTGGAGGACAGAGGAGCCTCTTAAAGAAGAAGTTACAGGTCTGTGAGAGCCAGAAATCTTGCTTGTTTGTAGGTGACCAAATACTTATTTTCCACCATAATTTGCAAATAAATTCATAAAAAATCCTACAATGTGATTTTCTGGATTTTTTTCTTCTCATTTTGTCTGTCATAGTTGACGTGTACCTATGATGAAAATTACAGGCCTCTCTCATCTTTTTAAGTGGGAGAACTTACACAATTGGTGGCTGACTAAATACTTTTTTCCCCCACTGTATGTTATACACACCAATTAAGTGCTGAACTACCTATTATGTTAGATGAGTGGAACCGACCACAAAGCAGAAGCAGCTAAACTCTGGTGGAGAGAGCTAGTCTGGCCGTAGTTTCCCCATTTCCTGTAGAGTCTCACTGATGGGAAAGATGTACAGACATTATGTGAGGTTGAGAGAGGCTACTGCTGCTGCTGCTACTCTATGTTCATTATCTATGTATAGTCACTTTAACTCTATCTACATGTACATATTACCTTAATTACGTCGACTAACCTGTGCCCCCACACATTGACTCTGTACCGGTACCCCCTGTATATAGCCTTGCTACTGTTATTTTACTGCTGCTCTTTAATTAGTTAGTATTTGTATTTTTTACGTATCTATTTTTTACTTAACACTTATTTTTCTTAAATGCATTGTTAGTTAAGGGCTTGTAAGTAAGCATTTCACTGTAAGGTCCACACGTGTTGTATTCAGAGCATGTGACAAATAACATTTGATTTGATTTGATTACGTACTTTTGAAAAAAACTCCAAGGCACGCATTGGTTAGTTGAAAAGTCCCAATATAATTTTCAGTGTCTATATCTGGGAATATAGTATTTCTGGGAATCACCATATACTACATTGAACAAAAATATAAACGCAACATGTAAAGTGTTGGTCCCATGTTTCATGAGCTGAAATAAAAGATCTCAGAAATGTTCCATACGCACGAAAAGCATATTTTTCTCAAATTTTGTGCACAAATTAGTTTACATCCCTGTTAGTGAGCATTTCTCCTTTGCCAAGATAATCCATCAACCTGACAGGTGTGGCATATCAAGAAGCTGATTAAAGAGCATGATCATTACACAAGTGCATCTTGTGCTGGGGACAATAAAAGGCCACTCTAAAATGTGCAGTTTTGTCACACAACATAATGTTTTGTGTTGTGTAAGGGAGTGTGCAATTGGCATGCTGACTACAGGAATGTCCACCAGAGCTGTGGACAGAGAATTGAATGTTCATTTCTCTACCATAAACCGCCTCAAACTTAGTTTTAGAGAATTTGGCAGTACGTCCAACTGGTCTCCCAACCGCAGACCATGTGTATGGCGTCTTGTGGGTGAGCGGTTTGCTGATGTCAACATTGTGAACAGAGTGCCCCATGGTGGCGGTGGGGTTATGGTATGGGCAGCTATAAGCAGGTACAGTGGGGAGAACAAGTATTTGATACACTGCCGATTTTGCAGGTTTTCCTACTTACAAAGCATGTAGAGGTCTGTAATTTTTATCATAGGTACACTTCAACTGTGAGAGACGGAATCTAAAACAAAAATCCAGAAAATCACATTGTATGATTTTTAAGTAATTAATTTGCATTTTATTGCATGACATAAGTATTTGATACATCAGAAAAGCAGAACTTAATATTTGGTACAGAAACCTTTGTTTGCAATTACAGAGATCATACGTTTCCTGTAGGTCTGGACCAGGTTTGCACACACTGCAGCAGGGATTTTGGCCCACTCCTCCATACAGACCTTCTCCAGATCCTTCAGGTTTCGGGGCTGTCGCTGGGCAATGCGGACTTTCAGCTCCCTCCAAAGATTTTCTATTGGGTTCAGGTCTGGAGACTGGCTAGGCCACTCCAGGACCTTGAGATGCTTCTTACGGAGCCACTCCTTAGTTGCCCTGGCTGTGTGTTTCGGGTCGTTGTCATGCTGGAAGACCCAGCCACGACCCATCTTCAATGCTCTTACTGAGGGAATGAGGTTGTTGGCCAAGATCTCGCGATACATGGCCCCATACATCCTCCCCTCAATACGGTGCAGTCGTCCTGTCCCCTTTGCAGAAAAGAAAAATCTGTCTGTGCCCTTAAGCAAGGCACTTAACCCTAATTGCGCATGTAAGTCGCTCTGGATAAGAGCGTCTGCTAAATGACTAAAAATGTAAAATGTAAAAAGCATCCCCAAAGAATGATGTTTCCAACTCCATGCTATCATTTTACATTTACATTTTAGTCATTTAGCAGACGCTCTTATCCAGAGCGACTTACAGGAGCAATTAGGGTTAAGTGCCTTGCTCAAGGGCACATTTACGTCATTTAGCAGACGCTCTTATCCAGAGCGACTTACAAATTGGTGCATTCACCCTATAGCCAGTGGGATAACCACTTTACAATTTTCTTTTATTTATTTATTTATTTTTTATTTTTTTGGGGGGTGGGGGTAGAAGGATTAATTTATCCTATCCCAGGTATTCCTTAAAGAGGTGGGGTTTCAAATGTCTCCGGAAGGTGGTGAGTGACTCCGCTGTCCTGGCGTCGTGAGGGAGCTTGTTCCACCATTGGGGTGCCAGAGCAGCGAACAGTTTTGACTGGGCTGAGCGGGAACTATGCTTCCGCAGAGGAAGGGGAGCCAGCAGGCCAGAGGTGGATGAACGCAATGCACTCGTTTGGGTGTAGGGACTGATCAGAGCCTGAAGGTACGGAGGTGCCGTTCCCCTCACTGCTCCATAGGTTGGGATGGTGTTCTTGGGGTTGTACTCATCCTTCTTCTTCCTCCAAACACGGCGAGTGGAGTTAATACCAAAAAGCTCTATTTTTGTCTCATCAGACCACATGACCTTCTCCCATTCCTCCTCTGGATCATCCAGATGGTCATTGGCAAACTTCAGACGGGCCTGGACATGCGCTGGCTTGAGCAGGGAGGCCTTGCGTGCACTGCAGGATTTTAATCCATGACGGCGTAGTGTGTTACTAATGGTTTTCTTTGAGACTGTGGTCCCAGCTCTCTTCAGGTCATTGACCAGGTCCTGCCGTGTAGTTCTGGGCTGATCCCTCACCTTCCTCATGATCATTGATGCCCCACGAGGTGAGATCTTGCATGGAGCCCCAGACCGAGGGTGATTGACCGTCATCTTGAACTTCTTCCATTTTCTAATAATTGCGCCAACAGTTGTTGCCCTCTCACCAAGCTGCTTGCCTATTGTCCTGTAGGCCATCCCAGCCTTGTGCAGGTCTACAATTTTATCCCTGATGTCCTTACACAGCTCTCTGGTCTTGGCCATTGTGGAGAGGTTGGAGTCTGTTTGAGTGTGTGGACAGGTGTCTTTTATACAGGTAACGAGTTCAAACAGGTGCAGTTAATACAGGTAATGAGTGGAGAACAGGAGGGCTTCTGAAAGAAAAACTAACAGGTCTGTGAGAGCCGGAATTCTTACTGGTTGGTAGGTGATCAAATACTTATGTCATGCAATAAAATGCAAATTAATTACTTAAAAATCATACAATGTGATTTTCTGGATTTTTGTTTTAGATTCCGTCTCTCACAGTTGAAGTGTACCTATGATAAGAATTACAGACCTCTACATGCTTTGTAAGTAGAAAAACCTGCAAAATCGGCAGTGTATCAAATACTTGTAACCAACAGATGCATATCTGTATTCCCTGTCATGTGAAATCATAGATTAGGGCCTAATGAATTTATTTCAATGTATTTATTTCAATACACATGCAATGTTTAATTTTCCAGATGTTCCTATAACATTAATCCAGCGTTGTGGGGACATTGTAGTGATGTACATTTACATTTACATTTACGTCATTTAGCAGACGCTCTTATCCAGAGCGACTTACAAATAGGTGCATTCACCCTATAGCCAGTGGGATAACCACTTTACAATTTATTTTATTTTATTGTATTTTTTATTTTTTTTGGGGGGGGGGGGGGGGGGGGGGGGGGGGTAGAAGGATTACTTTATCCTATCCCAGGTATTCCTTAAAGAGGTGGGGTTTCAAATGTCTCCGGAAGGTGGTGAGTGACTCCGCTGTCCTGGCGTCGTGAGGGAGCTTGTTCCACCATTGGGGTGCCAGAGCAGCGAACAGTTTTGACTGGGCTGAGCGGGAACTATGCTTCCGCAGAGGAAGGGGAGCCAGCAGGCCAGAGGTGGATGAACGAAATGCCCTCGTTTGGATGTAGGGACTGATCAGAGCCTGAAGGTACAGAGGTGCCGATCCCCTCACAGCTCCATAGGCAAGCACCATGGTCTTGTAACAGATGCGAGCTTCAACTGGAAGCCAGTGGAGTGTGCGGAGGAGCGGGGTGACGTGAGAGAACTTGGGAAGGTTGAACACCAGACGGGCTGCGGCATTCTGGATGAGTTGTAGGGGTTTAATGGCACAGGCAGGGAGCCCAGCCAACAGCGAGTTGCAGTAATCCAGACGGGAGATGACAAGTGCCTGGATTAGGACCTGTGCCGCTTCCTGTGTAAGGCAGGGTCGTACTCTCCGAATGTTGTAGAGCATGAACCTGCAGGATCGGGTCACCGCCTTGATGTTAGCGGAGAACGACAGGGTGTTGTCCAGGGTCACGCCAAGGCTCTTCGCACTCTGGGAGGAGGACACAATGGAGTTGTCAACCGTGATGGCGAGATCATGGAACGGGCAGTCCTTCCCCGGGAGGAAGAGCAGCTCCGTCTTGCCAAGGTTCAGCTTGAGGTGGTGATCCGTCATCCATACTGATATGTCTGCCAGACATGCAGAGATGCGATTCGCCACCTGGTTATCAGAAGGGGGAAAGGAGAAGATTAGTTGTGTATCGTCAGCGTAGCAATGATAGGAGAGGCCATGTGAGGATATGACAGAGCCAAGTGACTTGGTGTATAGGGAGAATAGGAGAGGGCCTAGAACTGAGCCCTGGGGGACACCAGTGGTGAGAGCACGTGGTGCGGAGACAGCTTCTCGCCACGCCACTTGGTAGGAGCGACCGGTCAGGTAGGACGCGATCCAGGAGTGAGCCGCGCCGGAGATGCCCAGCTCGGAGAGGGTGGAGAGGAGGATCTGATGGTTCACAGTATCAAAGGCAGCAGACAGGTCTAGAAGGACAAGAGCAGAGGAGAGAGAGTTAGCTTTAGCAGTGCGGAGAGCCTCCGTGACACAGAGAAGAGCAGTCTCAGTTGAATGACCAGTCCTGAAACCTGACTGGTTTGGATCAAGAAGGTCATTCTGAGAGAGATAGCACATGTACAGTCCGTTTCCTGCAGGCTTGGATGTCAGTCAGGCTTGGGTGTTTTTCTCCAGTGTTTCTAATATGCTACTCTAATTTATGTCTTCTCTATGTATGACAGGAAGTCCTGTATTTTCCTGAAGGTTTTTTTTCTTTGAATAAGCTAAAGTAATTTAAAGATTTTCTGTAGTATTTTCTCACTACATCCTTCTCCCTGTCTGACTGAATTCTTGAAGAGGAGAGTGAGAAAAAGCCCCCATCTTCTGGGAAGGCTTTTCAAATCAAATCAGATTGTATTTGTCACATGCGCCAAATAGTGTAGACCTTAAAAGGTGTAGAAAGGTGTAGACCTTACCGTGAAATGCTTACTTACAAGCCCTTAACCATAAATGCAGTTCAAGAAATAGAGTTAAGAAAATATTTATTAAATAAAGTAAAAAATAAAAAGTAACACAATAAAATAACATAACAATAGATTGGGGGTAGAAGCTGTTAAGGAGCCTTTTGGACCTAGACTTGGCGGTCCTGTACCGCTTGCCGTTTGGTAACAGAGAGAACAGTCTATGACTTGGGTGACTGGAGTCGTTGACAATTTTTTGGGCCTTCCTCTGACACCGCCTAGTATATACACTGCCGGTCAAAAGTTTTAGAACACCTACTCATTCAAGGGTTTTTCTTTTCTTTTTACTATTTGCTACATTGTAGAATAATTTTGAAGACATCAAAACGATTAAATAACAAATATGGAATCATGTAGTACCCAAAAAAGTGTTAAACAAATCAAAATATATTTTATTTCAAATAGCCACCCTTTGCCTTGATGACAGCTTTGCACACTCTTGGCATTCTCTCAACCAGCTTCACCTGGAATGCTTTTCCAACAGTCTTGAAGGAGTTCCCACATATGCTGAGCACTTGTTGGCTGCTTCTCCTTCACTCTGCGGTCCGACTCATCCCAAACCATCTCAATTTGCTCATATTTCTTGGCTTAAGCAAGTCTCTTCTTATTATTGGTGTCCTTTAGTGGTGGTTTCTTTGCAGCAATTCGACCATGAAGGCCTGATTCACACAGTCCCCTCTGAACAGTTGATGTTGAGATGTGTCTGTTACTTGAACTCTGTGAAGCATTTATTTGGCCTGCAATTTCTGAGGCTGGTAACTCTAATGAACTTATCCTTTGCAGCAGAGGTAACTCTGGGTCTTTCATTCCTGTGGCGGTCCTCATGAGAGCCAGTTTCATCATAGCGCTTGATGGTTTTTGCGACTGCACTTGAAGAAATTTTCAAAGTTCTTGAAATGTTCCGTATTGACTGACCTTCATGTGTTAAAGTAATGATGGACTGTCGTTTCCCTTTGCTTATTTGAGCTGTTCTTGCCATAATATGGACTTGGTGTTTTACCAAATAGGACTATTTTCAGTATACCCCCCCCCCCCCCCCCCCCCCCACCTGGTCACAACACAACTGATTGGCTCAAACGCATTAATAAGGAAAGAAATTCCACAAATGTAACTTTGAAGAAGGCGCACCTGTTAATTGAAATGCATTCCAGGTAACTACCTCATGACGCATGGTGATCTTCGGCTTGTGGCGGCTGCTTGGCCATGGAAACCCATTTCATGAAGCTCCCGACGAACAGTTATTGTGCTGACTTTGCTTCCAGAGGCAGTTTGGAACTCGGTAGTGAGTGTTGCAACTGAGGACAGACAATTTTTATGTCCTACGCGCTTCAGCACTCGGCGATCCCGTTCTGTGAGCTTGTGTGGCCTGCCACTTCGCGGCTGAGCCGTTGTTGCTCCTAGACGTTTCCACTTCACAATAACAGCACATACAGTTGAACGGGGCAGCTCTAGCAGGGCAGAAATTTGACGAACTGACTTGTTGGAAAGGTGCCGTTTTATGACGGTGCCACGTTGAACGTCACTGAGCTCTTCAGTAAGGCCATTCTACTGTCAATGTTTGTCTATGGAGATTGCGTGGCAGTGTGCTCAATTTTATACACCTGTCAGCAATGGGTGTGGTTGAAATAGCTGAATCCATTCATTTGAAGGGGTGTCCACATACTTTTGTATTATAGTGTATATACTTCTGGGAAGTTGTTAGACAATCCAGAGACCACTGAACTTCTCTCTTGGGTTTGACTTCTTGATGTTTGATATAGCTAGGGCTTTACCATACATTGTTTGGGTTGTATTACTGACTGCTTATACAGGAATTCTCTGCGTGGTTGTCACTATTGTTCCCTTATGATTCATGACAACACACTTTATTTCCTTTTTACAATGGATCAGTGATTTGTAAATGACTCAATCAGAAAAACATGATGGTCGTATGCATCTCTGTGTAAGAAGTTCACCCCTACCTTTATGATGTCTCACCGATGATGTGTCACTGATTAGTTTCGTTATTTATTGACGTGTGTGTGTGTTCCCATCCACAGGTGTTCTTTGCCTCGGTGCGGTCCGGAGGAGCCAGCCAGGTGTACTTTATGACCCTGGGGCGTACCTCTCTGCTCAGCTGGTAGAGAGAGACCATGCCCCCTCTACACTGGAAACCAACCAACCGCGTTTTACCTGACGTTCAGTGATGCCAACGGACAAAAGCCAACCACCTCCGACTTAGCTATGACCTTTGACCCGGAGCATCATGTTATATTGAGGATACACACAACATCCAGATGCCGTCGCCCCAGCCATGAATACCAGATATGAGAATTGTTAAAAATGAAGTTAATTGATTATTTTATTTTTTAAGGGGGGGAACGGTTTGCCCCACTTTGGTGCTCAACTGATTGTGGACACGTCTGTGCGGGGTCGTTGCCCTGAACATGTGTGACCTCTGTGTGTGTCGTTCCTAGTTACTGACTGTGCTATGGGCTTGAAGTCTACTAACTACTCTCTGCATCTTCTGCTCGTATTCCAGGAGCCCCCCTCCAACCCACCCTTTTCCTTAGCGAGGGAGGAGCAGGGGTGGAGCATACAGTGTTAATGCTACAGTAGTGTATGTAAATGTCTTTCTGTTAATTCCAATGATTGCTGACTGCGGGGGGGTGTTGAAGCTGTCAGTCATGGAGGAGGCTGGAATAAAGAAGCTGAGCAAAGGAGCCAATTTGTTCTAGGCTCAGTGCTGGCATGATGACAGCAGGTGGAAGGGGCCAAGGCGTTTTACAGTAAATCTGGTAGTACCTGAGAGGACTCAGCTGGACTGTGTGTTAATAGAGTTAGGACAGCTACAGTATTTTAATGGTGGGGTCAAAGAAAATGATTTTATTCAGATGGACTTCAGACTAGTATTTTTAAAAATTATTATTATGATTCCCTAAAAAAGTGAAACTATGTGGAGTTAATATTTATTTTACCTTATTTTCAAAAATCACATTTGCACAGTCTCCAGTTTGCTTGCTTTTATTCCAACCCACAACACATTGAAATGCTTTAGGAGTTAGAGAGAGTGGGTGGGTTAGATAAAGGAAACAGTATCTATGTATAATAAAAGTTAATTTAATTCCATCCATAGTTTTTCAGTGGTCATGGTAGTGGATCCCTCAGTGATCCGGCTTGGACCATCAGAGGGTCCAGGATGGAGGACATGGTCCTGATGTGAATAGACAGATATAATAAAAGAGAGTGGAGGAGAAGGGTGAGGTGATAGGACAGTGTGTGTGTGTGTGTGTGTGTGTGTGTGTGTGTGTGTGTGTGGTTGTAAAGGGGCCAATAGGCGAGAGAGGAGGGGTGTTGATGAAAGTTTTTGTAGCAGGAAGGTTACACATGGTCAGCAAAACTCAATGGACTGTGGTGAAAAAACAGTGGTGTTTTGATATTTCATATATTTGTTTTTCATTTTTATATTTTCATGAATGCAATGCACTAAGTGTCAAGAATGTAGAAAGAAATATACTGTGTGGTGGTCAAAGGCATGAGACTTTTATTTTTGTTCCTTGTCACAAGTGATTGATTTCGATGTTCAATTTCAAAGTAACACAAGTGAATACTAAACGATGGAGCCTCTATTAAAGATGTTGATTTTCCTTTCACAAACTCAATGTTTTAAAGTGCATCAGAGCTGGAAAGAGAGAGCAGGTCTGAGTTGAGACGTTGCTAGGCTATAGTAGTTTTTTGTGGGGCCAGTATGCTCACAGTAGCCTAATCAACCTTATTCACCAACAGGGCTTAGTCCTCAGTGTAACTGTAAACAACATGACCAAGCTCAGCTAAGTCGTCTTGAGCGCGGTACGTTTGTCCATCTTGTGCAATGTCAGCTTATCAATCAATGGAAGGCAATACAATACAAAACAACTTGTTTCAAATCAGAGGAGAGCAGTCTGGTCACCAGGAGCCAGAGCACAGGTGATCTCTGACCGCTGTGATTCTACTGCTCTCGTCTGAAGGTGTTCAAGACGGAAACCCACTTTGGGCAGAATAATTTTTTCACTGTTAAAGGGTATAGTCTGTACAGATATGTGAAGAAGACGATTCAATAAACTGCAATATCCCCTGCCACGGCTCTCCTACAACAGTGTATCTGATCTTCCTTGACCATAGTGACAAACAACAACAACAACATCAACAACAGGCTATTATCTTGAGGAGGATTGTGTTTTAATGGTGATGATGGATCAAAGCTATTTCACCCAAGGGGACAGACTCTGTACCCTGACTGTGTGTCTGACCACAGTGGGTCAATTAATCTCTGAGTTGGGTCTTTCTCCTACTAACAGTCATGTCATTCTGTGTGTAGAGCTGTGGGAAAGGCACTGCAAATTACATGTCACAGAATTGTTTCAGGAGCCAACTTTTCTTGTATATGGAAAAAGAAAGCAGTTTGAAAAGCGAACCCCAATGATGTATGTGTGTGTTTAATAGCCTCCCAGTGCTGACCCACTATGTCTTTCTGGTTGCATCAAGGCCTTCATGAGTGGCATAAATTACTTTATTAAGATTATGGTTATTGATATTCTTATTAATGGAAAAAATTACAATTTCTTTGCAATCTGAAAAGCAGTCGCTTGCTGATTTAACGTTTTTAAAAAGTGCCAAGATGGCAACATTAAACGTGTCAAAAAAAATACAAAACCACTTTGTTGATCTCACTTGAAGCATTGTGTATTCTTAAGTTTTAAACTTGGTTAAGAAGCTTAATAATGGTTTCTGTTGTTTCTGTAAGTTTATGTACTCTGCAGTGGTTGAATATTATAATGCTCACATTAGGTCGGGAAAATGGCTATGTTTACAGAGGCAATGTTTTGTTACACTAATGTGCATCATGTAATTTATGTTTCTTTCTGAAAAACATCTGTTTAGCTTTCTTCTTCTTTTTGTATTGAATGTAATTTTTGTCAATAATCCTAAATGATGCCATTTTTTTCTCTCTCAAATAACCAACTCACAACACAATAAAGAATACTCATGCAATGTTTAATTTTCCAGATGTTCCCATAACATTAATCCAGCGTTGTGGGGACATTAGTGATGTACGGTCCGTTTTCCTGCAGGCTTGGATGTCAGTCAGGCTTGGGTGTTTTTCTCCAGTGTTTCTGCCATGCTACTCTAATTTATGTCCTCTCTATGTATGACAGGAAGTCCTGTATTTTCCTGAAGGTTTTTTTTCTTTGAATAAACTAAAGTAATTTAAAGATTTTCTGTAGTATTTTCTATACATCCTTTTCCCTGTCTGCCTGTTGGTCCCCCCTTTTGCTGATATAACAGCCTCCACTCTTCTGGGAAGGCTTTACACTAGATGTTGGAACATTGCTGCGGGGACTTGCATCCATTCAGCCACAAGAGCATTAGTGAGGTCAGGCACTGATGAAGAGCGATTGGGCCTGGCTCGCAGTCTCCGTTACAATTCATCCCAAAGGTGTTTGATGGGGTTGAGGTCCGGGCCAGTCAAGTTCTTCCACACCGATCTCAACAAACCATTTCTGTATGGACCTCGCTTTGTGCATGGGGGCATTGTCATGCTGAAACAGGAAAGGGGCTTCCCCAAACTGTTGCCATAAAGTTGGAAGCACAGAATCGTCTAGAATGTAATTGTATGCTGTAGCGTTGATTTCCCTTCACTGGAACTAAGGGGCCTAGCTCGAAACATGAAAAACAGCCCCAGAACATTATTCCTCGTTCACCAAACTTTACAGTTAGCACTATGCATTCGGGCCGGTAGCATCCTCCTGGCATCCGCCAAACTCAGATTTGTCCGTCGGACTGCCAGATGGTGAAGCGTGAATCATCCCTCCAGAGAACACATTTCCACTGCTCCAGAGTCCAATGGCGGCGAGCTTAACACCACTCCAGCCAACGCTTGGCATTGCGCATGGTGATCTTAGGCTTGTGTGTGGCTGCTCTGCCATGGAAACCCATTTCATGAAGCTCCCGACAAACAGTTATTGTGCTTCCAGAGGCAGTTTGGAACTCGGTAGTGAGTGTTGCAACCGAGGACAGACCATTTTTGCACGCTACTCGCTTCAGCACTCTTCTGTGCGCTTGTGTGGCCTACCACTGCGGCTGAGCCATTGTTGCTCCTAGATGTTTCCACTTCACAATAACAGCACTTACAGTTGACCGGGGCAGCTTTAGCAGGGCAGAAATTTTACGAACTGACTTGTTGGAAAGGTGGCATCCTATGACGGTGGCACATTGAATGTCACTGAGCTCTTCAGTAAGGCCATTCTACTGCCAATGTTTGTCTTTGGAGATTGCATGGCTGTGTCCTCGATTTTATACAACTGTCAGCAACGGGTGTGGCTGATATAGACACATCCACTAATTTGATGGGGTGTCCAAATACTTTTGTATAATTAGTGTAAGTCCACATAAATCAATGGCCTGGAATTTATATTATTATTGCCTTGTTCACCTAAAGAAATTCAATGTGTTTACTAATCTGTCCATAACTCCACTTCTGCAATGAAGTGGGTGGAATATACCAGACCAGCAGTTATAGATTTGGTGACTAGGGATGGTAGAGCCAGTGTCATGAAGGTCTGTGTCTGTTCTCTAATATACAATATCTATGTTATAAATATTGCGTAATGGTGTGTCTCTTGCGTTTATATGAGGTTTGTTTGAGGCGAGTGTGTAGGTGGTACACATTAATCTGGGTTGGTGTGTGGGTGTGAAAGCTCAGATGAAAAAGAGAAGTCACGATAATGTCATGTTTCTGAAAAGATTTCAAACTGTTACTTAACTTATGTAAGGTAGCTTGGTCTGTTTCAGAAGAAACATTACGTCTGGAGACGCATCATCATCCTCTTTCTTTTTCCCTCACGAATAGGAATAAATAGACTTGATCTATGATGTCACGGTTTATGGAATATCAGCCCCTGCTCTTCAATAGGATTCAGTATTTATGTTAGCCGAGTCGCATTGAAACCAAGCTAGTTGGAGAGTTCCCAAAACATGCAATAACGCTTAGTCAATGGCCGCTACAAGTCACTGAACCCTACTGCCATCCTAGAGATGATGCATCACTCATCATTTGTTAACCAATATGTGTCGGAGCAAATGAGTGTGCCTGACTACCATACACTTAGTTGGCACTTAGCCGTCCACTCATCAGCATTGTGGGGATGGATATTATCTTACAACATGGTGACTAATATGAGTCTAATCTGGGGTAATAGCATGCTTATTATTACAGAATTGAGACAGGCAGTGAGTCAGACCCCTAACTAACTATGTGTGCTGTCACTCACCTGCTAAGTATCCTGGGGAATTTGATGGGCGTATGACACCCAACACCAAAAAAACACAGTTTAGTAATCTGGTGGACATGTACATGGCTGCACACGTATGCATGCACACGGACACACACGTACCACCCCACAGCTATGGGAGTTAAGTTACATTTAAAGTAATCCACACAGACAGACACACACAAACACTGCTTTTTACATCCCCTTTCTCTTGAATGTCATTGAATCTTTGCAGTGTGTTAGGGAACTGGATTGCTCAATCTGCTGTTTATTTCCTCAGTGTGACAGCATAACATGCCTGTGTTCTCATAAAGAAAATAAATAAATTGGTCATTTAGCAGACGCTCTTATCCAGAGCGACTTACAGGAGCAATTAGGGTTAAGTGCCTTGCTCAAGGGCACATCGACAGATTTTTCACCTAGTCGGCTCGGGGATTAGAACCAGCGACCTTTCGGTTACTGGTACAACGCTCTTAACCACTAAGCTACCTGCCGCCCAAGAAAACATGTTTAAACAGCAGATGTCAAAGGGAAGAGGAAAATAACAGATGTAAACAGTTATACGCGATGTATGTCTACTTCTACAACTACAAAGCAGTTAATTAAACTGAGGTTAACCAATACTGGGTTAAGTTGGGAAAATATATACATACGAGTACATTTGTACAGTACAAGCCAAACATACCTTATTGTCTTTGTGTATGTTTGTACTTTTAGTATGTAAAAAATAAATCAGGTGTATTGTGTGTGTGTGGGTGTTTTGTTTTGGAAGTGGTGAGATGTCTTCATCATAAGCTGAGCTGTCCATTTTATTGGGAAACGTCAGAAATTTCTATGCCGGGAGGGAAACCTTTAGAATTCGAGGTTCCCCCAAACGGCTAGTCTGACTGACAGTCACATGTATAAGAAGGACCATGTCACACTCAGAGGTCCACTCTGTCACTGTGTCTTCTTAACTCTGGTGGTGCGGATATACTGGAACCGAGCCACTGTCACTACCTCATCACTGTCACCACCATGGTCACCTGGGAAAACGTGAGTACTCATTAATTTCAGTAGTGGAAACTGTGTACAATACATAGAGCGAGTTGGGGTTAGTGCTTTAGAATAAGGAACACTTTATGAACTTTAGAATAAGGAACACTTTATGAACTTTAGAATAAGGAACACTTTAGGAACTTTAGAATAAGGAACACTTTATGAACTTTAGAATAAGGAACACTTTATGAACTTTAGAATAAGGAACACTTTATGAACTTTAGAATAAGGAACACTTTAGGAACTTTAGAATAAGGAACACTTTAGGAACTTTAGAATAAGGAACACTTTAGGAACTTTAGAATAAGGAACACTTTAGGAACTTTAGAATAAGGAACACTTTAGGAACTTTAGAATAAGGAACACTTTAGGAACTTTAGAATAAGGAACACTTTAGGAACTTTAGAATAAGGAATAGTAGGTAGATACTCAGCATTATTTAATTGTATTTTGTCAATGCTATACATCAATACTATATTGATTTCAACTTTTAGTTTGTTCTGCTGTTGTTTTTATCAGTGTGGTCAGATATTTGCTGTTAAGACTTTTCTCACTATATTCAATATTTTACATGACAATATACACTGAGTGTACAAAACATTATATAGACTGACCAGGTGAATCCAGGTGAAAGCAAGGATCCCTTATTGATGTCACCTCTTAAATCCACTTCAATAAGTGTAGAGGAAGGGGAGGAGACAGGTTAAATAATGATTTCTAAGCCTGGAGACATGTATTGTGTATGTGTGCCATTCAGAGGGTGAATGGGCAAGACAAAAGATGTACGTTTCTTTGAACGGGTTATGTAGGTGCCAGGCGCACCAGTTTGAGTGCGTCAAGAACTGCAACATTGCCGGGTTTTTCACGCTCAACAGTTTCCCGTGTATATCAAGAATGGTCCACCACCCAAAGGACATCCAGCCATATTTACACAACTGTGAGAAGCATTGGAGTCAACATGGGCCAGCATCCCTGTTGAACGCTTTCAACACCTTTTAGAGTCCATGCCCCGATGAATTGAGGCTGTTCTAAAGGCAAAAGGGGGTGCAACTGGATATGAAGGTGTTCCTAATGTTTTGTACACCGTGTATTTCTATTTGGCATGGCGGCTTCACATTAGACCATGTCTACCTAGGGGCAGCTCTAGAATAAAGGTATATTACTGATATTATTAGTCTCTCCATGAGAAGCAGTGAGCAGGTACTCTTCTATTAGATCAGCTGACTTCAGAATTACATAAAATCACATTCCTGCTGAACATGGATTTGCTATTATATAATTTAGTGAACTGAAACTTTGACATCACACTTTTTTATAACTTCCGGCAGTATAGATAGATACCGAGTTTTACCCTCTGAGTTCCATTTCATCAGAATTACCCCTTTGTCAGCGACTTCTGTCTGTGTGGGTGTGTCAAAAAGATAATGATGTCACGTTACTTTTTTAAGGCAAGTTAAAAGTCCCCTGATCTCACAGACATACACACCCCAACATTACAAAGTAGCATGTGATTATAACAACACTCTGCATGCAAGGTCTACACGTGTTATTATTCCTCCAGTATGCCATGGTTATCCTCAGTCTGCTCTCGGCGTTGTTCATCGCTCACTCTGCCTGTGGACGACGGCTACCTCCGCTACCTATGATAGGTAAGTGTCTGTCTCTCTTTCTGTCTCGTACATTTGCATCTATAAATGCATGTGACTCATCTATGACTTATTCCTAAGAATGTATAAATTAATTGATTGTAACTGATGTGTTTCCCCAGATGGCTGTTTCAGGGTGTCTCCAGAGCCGGAGGTGTTCCGTGTGCAGGGTGAAGCGGTGGTCCTGAGCTGCTTTGGTTTTGACAGGGTCCTCCAGATACGATTCCCCAAGGCTAAGGCGGGTTACACCTATGTCGTCGCCAAGGGAAATGGGAAGGAGGGCATTGACCCTGAGGAGGGGGAAGAGGGGCGGGTCCTGCAGCGTGAGCGACAGCTGTGGCTCCTCCCAGCTCGAACTTCTGACTCCGGAGAGTACTCCTGCATCTACAGGTGGATAAATAGTCACAGCCATTTGCATAAGGCTTTCCCTTTAGTTACTTACTTTTACTTTAGTTATTGTACAGTATGTAAATATATCTACCTGTCGTATATTGATGTCTGTCAGTTTAACACTTTATTTCAATTTTGACATGGACAATGTCATGGAATATCTAACATATCCTAGGCCAGGTTATATCCTGTATTATCAGTGCTCAATATGTATTGCTTTTTCTCCTGTCATTTTCAGAAATGACACATTATGTGTAACTGGAAGCATCACTCTACAAGTTTATGAGACCAAGCAAACTGATATTGAGAAGTTGTCTTATCCCATCTCTACACGCGTGGGAAACAATGTGTCAATCAGCTGTCCTCATTTTGAGTTCAACAGGACTGACGAAATAGAGTGGTATAAGGTGTGTGCAAACAATAGACTACCTTCATTGAAGTCTTCCTTTATGGTCTGTTTTGTAGTTTGTGCGTGCGTGCGTGTAGCTATGAACCATCTACCTAAAGCATGTCTGGAGTTTTCTTTATTCAACTGTTTCCATTCACACAGGATTCCAGCCTGACAGTGCTTCCTGTTGGCAGTGGGCGCTACCACAGACAGAGACCAGACTTGATCCATATCTCAGACGTGAGGCCAGCAGACCAGGGCTTCTACACCTGTCAGCTTAGAGTCCACGTCAACAACCTCCAGTACACAGTCAGCAGGACCATGAATCTCTATGTAAAAGGTGGAATACCACAGCACTACAACAATTTTATGAGAACCCACTGACTGAATCCTCTGAATACTTCTCCATAGTTGTCCCATCATTTGCTCAATATTTGCAACCCACCCTTTTGACAGTTGATGTGCTCTTGACTTATGTGCGGCTGTATTGGTCTACTATGTGTTGTAATGGTGGTGTGTTCTGTGGACCTCTCTCTCCAGTGCTTGACCCAGTTCCCTACACCCAGACCACCAGTCCCATCTTTGACCCAGACACAACCCCAACCCCTAACCCTGGTCTCAGCACTGTGGAATGTGAGTGAATCTATCGTTATGCGGCTCAGAAAACAAATGTCAATAACAGGACTTTCCAGTCTATTTTTGACCAATTCACCTCTTCAAAAGCATAAATTGCTTACTTAGTGTGAATCACTTTATGTTGTTGATAGTGTACTTATGCTTAGCCTAGTTTAGTAGTCTTGGTCCTGGCTTTGTCTAATGCCTGTTTATTTCCTTTTTTAGACCCAGCAGTTGAGTCCCCCAAGATTGTGTCCCCTGTCAATGGAACAATCTTTGAAAGTCCATTGGGTGGGTGAATCCCATATGCATGCTCTGTTTAACTTGAAAACCTATGTTTTGATTTTGGCTTACCTCAGTGTTCTAACTGTACCACCTCTATCTAACCACATCCAGGCTCTATTTTGGAGATATCCTGCCAGGTTTTCACAGGAAGCCAATCAGCAGACGCCACAGTGGTCACATGGTTGGTGGACGGCCAGTCATTGGATTCGTCCAACCTTGGTGGGCGGGCTCTGATGAGTCAGAGGAGGTGATACATATTGCAAGTGTCTCTTTAATTGTGTACACATATAATGTGCAAGCAAGCTCATTGAAGATTCTTGCTTTGTTACCAGGGTAACCACAGTGGCTGGGGGTTGTTATGTTGAGGTGAAGCTGTACATCGTTGAGCTGTGTGAGGAGGACACAAGGGCGGAGCTGAAGTGTGTCACTCAAAACCAAGGAGGAAGACATGAGGTCATTGCACAGTTCAGAGTCGAAGGTAGGCCCAATCTCAACTAACATATGATACATGCACTAGACTGTTGGTTGGCTGAAAGCCCTGGTATATCAAACAATATACCACGGGTATGACATAAAATTACTTGTTTACTGTTCTAATTACGTTGGTAACCAGTTTATAATAGCAATAAGGCACCTCAGGGGTTTGTGGTATATACCACGCACGGCTAATGGCTGTATCCAGGAACTCTGCGTTGCGTCGTGCATAAGAACAGCCCTTAGCCATGGTATATTGGCCATATACCACACTTCCTCAGGCCTTATTGCTTAAATGTACCATTGATTATGTGATTGAAACTCAAAGCAAGCCATGAAATGTGTGTGTTTCACTCGCTCTCTCCCTCTCTCAGACCCCAGGTCCACATGGCTGATGGTGGGTGTAGCAGTGTCTGTTTGTTTCCTGACGGTGGTTTCCATCTTCCTTTACCTCCTCCTAAAACCCAGAGGAAAGGGTGACTACTTCCTGGCTCGACAGAACAGCACGTTTAGCTCCACTTTCAGCTCCACATTGTGAGTTGCAAACGTAAACATCTCCCAAGTGATCTCGCTGGTACATTGTGACTGAAATGTTCTACTTTTCTGTAGTTTTGTTGACATGTTTAGCATTACAATGACCCTACAGACCACATAACATAGCATGACCCATGTTCACTCCCACTCATGGACTGGATAAGCACTCTCATACACAGTGTATACAAAAGTTGACTTAAAACAGAATGTATACAATGGAACATGTATTATTGTTATTAAATCATTTTTTAAATTAATCTCAAAATATTGTATTTTTATATGAACATGATCCATATTCTGATAAAGAATAAGGATCTGATGTGACAATGACAGAAGGTTCTGGTAGGCTACTGTATAAGAGCATTCACTCCTGTTCATCAGTGACCCGTGAACCACAACAGCAATAGTCACACAGGGATTCCAAATTAATAAGAAGTATCACAAAATTATATTTTAGGCCTACATATGACCATAATTATATTTGTATCATTATTTTTGGTGGAATGAAATGAGACCCCTTCCACCGTGTTATGGTGTACCTTTGCTAAGATACCACTAGATGGTGATACATTACAAGGTGATTAGACTCAACACAATACATTTTCTGTGTGAAGTAAATCACAAAAGATTCTGACCTGAGTCATGCTGTGGTTAACAGTTTGAGGTAATATTATACAGCAAGTAAGAATGGAATGAGATTTACCCTGCTTTCTGTCTATTGTTCTCTCTCTATCTCTCATTTTCTTCTCTCTTGCTCTCCCTCCTTTTCTCTCTCTCTCTATCTCTCCCTCCTTTTCTCTCTCTCTCTATCTCTCCCTCCTTTTCTCTCTCTCTCTATCTCTCCCTCCTTTTCTCTCTCTCTCTATCTCTCCCTCCTTTTCTCTCTCTATCTATGTGCCTGTTGGTTTATAATAGCAATATAACAAATAACATACAGATAGGCGTGTCTCCCCTTTTTGGTGGAATCATTCCAGATTACAAGTCCCTCCTTGCAGTGTTGCTCAACACTGCATTCTTTGCTTTTGAGCAGAAAGGTTTCTTAAGATCCAGAAGAAATTGCAACACATTCTGCCCAGAAATACTCCCAGACTACAGAAGAGCTTCTGGTTGGGAAAGTAGTGTTTTGGGGCATGTCTGATGCTTTTTAAATGTATCTTCTTCAATATAGCCTTTAGGTTAAAATTGAAGATGGTGTTTTTACAGTCGTTTACTAGACAAAGTACACTGTTTAATAGAACATGAACGTGACATGGACTTCAAGCTGTTTGGACAAGGCGTGGAACCAGAACTAAACTTCAGGTATACAAACTTTTCTGCTCTTTATCAGACGGCTAGGGAGGGATACTTTGGCACAGATCAGTCAATATGTCACTTTCTCTTTTCTGGTGGTGTGTCCATGCATAGTGTGTCCATGCATAGTGTTTTCAATGTATTTGTGTAGTATCTTATCTATGGTTGGTTGAAATTGTTTGTGTTGGTTTCATAACATTTAGGTTGGACTATTTCTCTTGAGGACAGCAAAACTATGTATAAACAAACCAAAACGCCAGAAGAGAATAAGAGAAAATTGGTAGTTGCATTTCCCCCTGCCCAAGTACTTACCACAGTGTGTGTGTGTGTGTGTGTGTGTGTGTGTGTGTCAGTGTGTGTCAGTGTGCATGGGTGCGTTTATGCATGTGTGTGGTCTGTGTGCACATGTGTGTGTGTTTGAGCGAGAGTCTGTGTGCACCTGTGAGTTTGTGACTGCACGGTAGGCCTTGAGGTTCCAAGAAGTGCATCTGTTGCTGTGAGCCTATGTGAGAGGTAGAAGACACTTCCTGGCTCCAGGACAGAAGATTGGAAGGGCCCCTTAAAGGGTAGGGGTGTCATATATCTTCTGACTCACACCTGTACCTCTGTGTGGCTAGGACTGGGGATTCTCTAATCCAATGGGGGAAATCCAGCTGAGGTTGTTTCACACCTCAAGAAAACAACCCGTAGCATCGTCTTGTCAACCTGAGGCACCTTCCTTAAAATCACACTTCAGCCACCCTGAAACCACACTCAGAGTGTGAAACGAAGTGGAGAGGAGCACCTTGGGTTTATCATCTCTAATCAAATCAAAATCTATTGGTCCCGTACACAGTTTACCAGATGTTATAGCGGGTGCAGCGAAATCCTTGTGTTACTAGCTCCTAACAGTGCAGTAAAATGTCAAACAAGTACACAAATAACCCAAAACTAAAAACGAGAAATCAAGAAATGTCAGAACGAATGCAAATAACTAAGAAGCCAAAGAAGGTCAATGTATTCATGTAGTATAGTAAGTGTTACTGCAAACTCAATAATCAATAGGCCATGTCAAAATATACATAGGTGATATTTGGGTGTCTGTGAATCGGGAGACACAGAGACCCAAACAATCTTAAGGAGAAGATGACGCAGACAGACATGGCAGCTCTGCTTCTAGCTCCTAAGCAACTTCGCAGTATTTTGTTTTTTTGTGTGTTATTTTTTACATTATTAGCCCAGAATTTTTTTTGTGTTATTACATACAGCCGGAAATAATTACAAGCATTTTGCTACACTCGCAATAACGTCTCCTAAATATGTGTATGTGACCAATAACATTTTATTTGATTTTGAATCAAGGCAACAACATTACACTGAGTGTAAAAAAAAACATTAAGGACACCTGCTCTTTCCATGACATAGACTGACCAGGTGAATCCAGGTGAAAGCTATGATCCCTTATTGATGTCAATTGTTAAATCCACTTCAATCAGTGTATATGAAGGGGAGGAGACATGTTAAAGAAGGATTTTTAAGCCTTGAGACAATTGAGACATGGATTGTGTATGTGTGCCATTCAGAGGGTAAATGGGCAAGACAAAATATTGAAGTGCCTTTGAACGGGGTATGGTAGTAGGTGCCAGGCGCACCGGTTTGTGTCAAGAACTGCAACGCTGCTGGGTTTTTCACACTCAACAGTTTCCCATGTGTGTCAAGAATGGTTCACCATCCAAAGGACATCCAGCCAACTTGACACAACTGTGGGAAGCATGAGCCAGCATCCCTGTGGAATTGTCACGGTTTCGGCCGAGGCTGCTCCTCCTCCTTGTTCGGGCAGGTTTCGGCGGTCGTCGTCCCCGGAGTATTAGCTATCACCGTTTGATGTTTTCGATGTCTGTTTGGTTTTGTCTGATTGTGTACACCTGTTTCCTGTTTGGTTAATTATGTCTCCTATAAGTTTCTCGTTTGGTTAGTCTTGTGTTGTGTGTTATTGTCTGCCTGTCGATAGGAGCTGCGTGTTTTTGCTCTGTTTGTTTTGTTTGGTGTTTTTACGCATGGTTTGCGTAATCGCTCGCCTCTGTTTGTTTTCAAGGCCGTGTATTGTATTTTGCACTTTTGACTAGTAAAGTCTGTTGGACGAAGCCTCTGTGTCCTGCGCCTGACTCCTCCACCACATCCACATCAGTTCATTGACAGGAATGCTTTCGACACCTTGTAGTCCATGCCCCGACGTATTAAGGCTGTTCTGAGGGCAAAAGGGGGGAGGTGTATAATGTTGTTGCCTTGATTCTCTGTGTCTCCAGATTCACCTGTGTATATTTTGACATGGCTTATTGATTAACGAGACACACTATTTATCTTATTATTAGTATTATGTTGTGCTATAATTTGCCATTTACCTTGAAACATATTATCATTGTAAGTTTTATACATTGTTGCATCTCAATGGGCCACTAGGCTATACGGTAAATAGGAGCTATGTGCAATGGTCAGGTCTCTCTGAGTAAGACGTCAGCTTGATGTCGACATTTCAGTCACCTGTTCTCATCCTGTACAATGGATTAAAGTGAGCTAAAATAAATCAATCTCTGTTTTTTTGTTGTTGAGTGCTCCAAGTCGTTTCTATCTCGAATTAGTCCTTTTGGAGGTTTTTGTTGGTAAGCCATTCTCATGAGTTTTGTCATTGTTGATGAGCACCCCTCCTTTCCTTTGTTTGCTGAAGCACGAAGGCCCACCTGAACTGTTACTGCAAACTGTTGGTACACTGGGGCTTATTATGAAGCATTAAGCTAACCATTAGGTAGGACTAACAGCAGGTTTCAAGTTAGTTTTGATATACAGTACCTTGCAAAAGTATTCAGACCCCTTGGATTTCTTAACATTTTATTTAGTTACAAAGTGGGATAAAAGTTTATATAATGGTCATTTTTGTCAACAATCTACCAAAAATACTCTGTCAAAGTGGAAGAAAAATTCTAATATTTTAAAAAGATTAATACAATTTTAATAACTAAAATATAGTCGTTGCATAAGTATTCAGCTCCCTGAGTCAATACATATTAGAAACACATTTGGCATCGATTACAGCTGTGATTCTCCTTGGGGAAGTCTATAAGATTTTTGCACACCTGGATTGGGCAATATTTGCCCATTATTCTTAAAAAAATTATTCAAGCTCTGTCAAGATGTTGGGGATCAAGGCTAGACAGCAATTCTCAAGTCTTGCCATAGATTTTCAAGCAGATTTAAGTCAAAACTATAACTTGGCCACTGATGAACATTCACTGTCTTTTTGGTAAGCAACTCCAGTGTAGATTTGGCCTTGTGTTGTAGGTTATTGTCCTGCTGAAAGGTGAATTCCTCTCCCAGTCTCTGGTGTAAAGCAGACCGAAGCAGGTTTTCCTCTAGGATTTTGTTGTGCTTAGCTCCATCCCGTTTCTTTTCATCCTGAAAAACTCTCCAGTATTTGCCGATGACAAGCATACCCATACCATGATGCAGCCACCACCATGCTTGAAAATAAGGAGGCAGTATATCAATTATGTGTTATGTTCAATTTGCACCAAACATAAGGCTTTGAATTTAGGCCAAAAAGGGTATTCATTTGCTGTGTTTTTTTGCAGTATTACTTTAGTGCCTTGTTGCATACAAGATGCATGTTTTGGAATATTACTCTGTATATTTTATATTCTTCTTTTCACTCTGTCATTTAGGTCATTATTGTGGAGTCACTACAATCCTCAGTATTCTCCCATCACAGCCATTGAACTCTGTAGCTGTTTTAAAATCACCAATGGCCTCATGGTAACATCCCTGAGCAGTTTCCTTCGTGTCCTGCAGCTCAGTTCAGAAGGACGACTGTATCTGTGATGTGTCTGGGCGATTTAATTCATACAGTGTCTTCAGAAAGTATTCATACCCCTTGACTTATTCCACATTTTGTTGTATTACAGCCTTAATTACAAATG